ACGGATACGAGCGGATATCGTCGACACTTCAGCTGGATCTGGTGGCAATCACACTGATAATACATTTTTAATAGACCCTCAACCGTTGTCGGCACTTGTGAGCTGGAATTACGCAATCAGGAGGCAGGCGAGCAAGGACACGAAGCCAGATGTTTTGTGCAGGTGAGCGACGAGGACGAACATCTCGTTTTAAATTTCCACCGACTGCGAACAAGGAGGGGAAAAACAGGGATACAGGGATACAGGGATACAGGGACACAGGGTTGGTGGGATTATGGGTTTTGGGTTTTCGGTGGGGTTGGAGAACGGGTTAAGTCACAGCTTGGAGGGTATTGCGAGCCAAGTGCGAGTGCTAATTGCCTAAATCTATCCCACATGGCCCACACAAGCTGCCAATTTGTAGGCCGGCTCTTTAATTAGCTGGCTAACAGCCTGTCGACTAATTAATGAAAGCGGCAATGGTGACAGCCGGCTCGGTGCGGCCCAGGTTGGATGGTTCAAGTTCAGAACCCTGGATTTCAGTCAACAGCATTTGCATAATGTGGCCACAATCGGGGCAGAGTACTGCATGTGCTTAGGTGACTCCTTCAAGGATCAAGGGCCGGCGCAGTGCAGTCCTCTGCATTTTTAATCAATGGCTTTACGGGATTCCCTCCATAAAACAGTAAGGGAGAGGGGAAAAAAAAACAGCGAACGCGCGTGGCATGAATAAATTAAAACGATTTCGGGCCACATTTCTTACCCAAGATTTATTACAAAGCGAAACACTCGAGAGCTCCCATGATGATGATGCTGCTACTGGTGAGGCCTCCTCTACTGATGCTGATGATGATGATTATGCCCCGCCTTCCTTCCTTCCTTCCGATTTTCCGTCGATTTTCGGCTACTGCCAAAGATTGTTGCATATCAAATGGCGCCTAAGTGCTGGGCGTGCGCCTCCAAACAAATCAAATCAGAATCGAGGCGCAGAGAGAGGCGTCTGCCGTCGCGTTTCGAGCTGCTTTTCGGCTTTTTACGGCCCCGACTCCATTTATTTAAATTCAATTTTATATTAGCGGCACTCACTTTCGCCTTTATTACCAATGGAATGGCTTACAAAGTGGATTTGGCGAAGCCTATAAAAGCGGGCCACCCAAAAAAAAATATCAGGAGTGTAAGCCAGGAACATGCCTCCTCAGACCTTAGGATTTGTAGTGGCAGCTTGAGGCCCTATCCCCAAGGATTCATCTATTCATTCCGCAAAGGCATCCGACCAGCTGACAAGGAATTAAACATTGTACTTTAATTCTAGCTTCTCCTACTCTTATGTTTTCCTCTTTTTCAGCCTGTCCTCCTGCCTAACGAATGCACCTAAAAAAGCTGATAAAAATGTCCTTGGTTTTGCAGAGAAATGGGGAATAATTTGGGTGGAAAGGAACGGAAGGGGGGACAGGGTTCAAGTTACCCTTTGTGTGCGTCATTTAATTGACAAAAGACTTCTCAAGGATGCTCTTCTTGCAAAGGCAGTGAGGTAATTATAATTATCAATTAGGCTGCAGGCTAAATCGAATTTCCCGGTAAAACGCGCTTTTAAAGTGCCATTTTGAATTGCGACCTAAACAGCTAAAAGCTTTTCCTCAAACTCAAATAACTTTAATGGGAAATGTAATTATTAAAGAGAAATTCAACCATTATTGAGCATAAAAAACGATTTTACAATATATTTAAAATAAATCAACAATAGTAACTAATTGTATCCCAATTTTAATTAAAATTTTTTGTTAAAGAAAAGTTGAGCTGCAAAAAAATTCAACCGGATTGAAAATTAATCAGACATCTGTAACACAATGGAAATATGAAAATAATACCACTTTTTACCCCTCTCCTTTTTTATATTTTAAGAAAAATCTATCCAAGAAAAAACTGGCATTTCTGACAGTGGAATTTGCATTCCAAAATTCTGCTGTATAAAATATGGGTTATACCATATGTACCCATGCAAAGCAGAGCCCGACATTCACATTCTTTTCAGTAAAGCTCCACATGGAAAATGCATCGCATATGCTTGACCAACAGCAGCAACATTTGGCCCTCTCCCATATTTTCTTTGCGGCATTTCGCTTTCATCTCTCCCTTGAAACCGAGCGGAAGGAAGGAGAATGACTAACTGCCCGAAAATGTATTTATATTCAAGCAGAATGCCGAAATATTTTCGAGCTCCTCTTGACCCTGGAATGCAATGGCTTGGGGCATAACCTTCACATGTGTGCATATATCTTACTTTGCATTATTAACATCATTCTGCCCGAGAGTCAGACATGCAAGACAAGCGCAAGCCATGTCAGCATTTCCATACGCATTGGGATAATAAAACGGAGCCAAAGGCGATTCTGATTGAGGCCAGACATCTGACAGACGGCGAGCTGTGAGCCGGGAGAAGAAAGTCCAAAAGTCAGCTGCCTTGTCTGACCCTGTCCATCTTGGGCCAGAGTCTGCAAGAAAGGGGAATCAAAGTGCACTCTCATGGTCCCGGAGAGTCCTGGAATTGAGGAGTCACGCACACAAAGGTTGTCAGAAGCAATAACAGTCTAGTCTAAGCTGGGGAAACTCCCATAATTGTAGGTAAAATATTACCCAATGGGAGGAAAATGTACAGAAATGTAAGATAAACTAAAATACTACTAAATATAATTTAATATACACCCTAAACCATCTCTTTGATTTGATTCTAACTAACTAATCCCCAGAATGTACTCCCAATGTTTAACCTAACGAAGCTCGACTGTATCCTTTTTCCCGCTGACTGATGCTAATAATGTGCTGCACACTTTCGGGAGCACCTGCTTGAAAAGTGCTTTCCCCATTTAATTTGAAATAATTACCGCTGAAAGCTAAGAGCCAACTATGCCCGCGGTGTGTGTGACTGTGTGTTTACGTGCAATTTATATGTGTGTGTGCGTGTACGTGGTAAATTTGTTGGCCATGTGCGCGTTATGTTGAAATTAATGAGCCAGTCCATTGCTCTACTTCATAGCCACAGCGGAAGAAGCTAGCAGTCAACAGCAAGAGGGCAGGACTGAATGGCGGACAAGCAGAGGGAGAGACAGCAGCCATAGAGATGGTGATGAAGTCGCACAGACAAAAGCGGAAACAAGCACAACCAGCAGCTTCCGGCCAATGTAAATAAGGCACTAACCGAAAACCCACTGGCAAAGATATGCATGATTACACACACCGACGCGGGCACAGCTGCAGGGGAGAGAGGCATTCATATACACCACATGTACCAAATACACTTGAAGAAAGTTTTAATTTTACATATGAACATATATATTATTTTCAAAGATATTATCTATATCCCATAAACATGACATCTTTAAAATAGGCATATAAAATTAGGTAAAAAGGCAGCATTTTAAAGGTATAAACTATGAATATCTAGTAATGAAAGCTAAATACTTTAAGATAAGAGAAAACTAGTAAATCATTCTTAATATATTATTATTTTAAAATTATTGGGGTACTAGGTTATTGCTAGTCAAATGTTGATGGGAACATGTTGTGGTTGTGCAACATCACTGATTACTGTCAACATCCTAATGTTGCTCAGACTCAGCAATACAATGGAGCTTAAATAATTAACAACTTCAACTACTTTCTACTACTACTTTCTACTACTACTACTTTCTAAAGAAATTCAGGATTGATTAATGAAATTTTATAGAAAAATATATCAACTTAATGCATTTTAATCATCATTTCCCCCAGTGCATTTTGGAGCTCGTACATTCGACTGAATCGACTCATTTGCCAGGCAACAGAGCCTGATGATATTTTGCGCGAGCTCTCCGATATTCCTCCAGCAACGACATTTTGTATTTATGGCCACACATGAATGTGTATGTGTGTGTATCGCCATGTACATTATGCGTTGTTGTGTGTGTTATTAATGGCCAGTTGCCTTTGTTTGTTAAATTGTTAATACTCTCACATTTACGCGCCTGCAATTCAAGTCGCCATTCGCATGCATTTCGCCATCACAGCCGCTTTGCATTATCCTTGCACTTTAAGCGCAACGCGGTCAACGGCATAATGAGACCTCTGTTTTATTTATTCCTTTTATTCACGGTTGCCATTGCCGTTACGCCATGCTGCTGCCTCCTTTGTGCTGTTTAATCCTTTTCCTCTTCGGCATGCGGAAAGGAGCTTAACAACGGCGGGAAGCGGAGGAGGGCCTAGTGATTAAGGAGGTCCGATGAGGTTTCTGCTTACCCACAGACAACAAGCCAGCTAGCCACACACAAAAACTGAAAACTCTCAATGGGGCTCTCATTTCCGAAAAGCAAAATATTTTGCATAAAGGCCAAAAATAATAGGTTTAAGTAGCATGGAAAATTAAAACTTTAATTTTCACAGCTTCGAAAGTATAAACTGTTGATTATTTACTGTCTTTGAATGTTTTTATGTAATTATAAATTGTAATAGAGAAATGGGGAATTGACTTTTTTCTTTCTTTTTCCTATTATTGCTGAAATAATTCTATATATTCTTTGAATAAAATGTTCTTAAAACTTTAACATTTACTAACATATCTCTGGGGTTAAACCAGCCCGAAAACAGTATTTTCTAAATATAAACATAAGCTAAGAACGTTTTCATATTCTATTTTAACCTAGAGTTATAGTCTGATATAATGAGCTACTTTTTATGGAAAATACCTAGATCCTAATGCTGTCAAAGCTTTTTCAAAGCACATCGGCAAAGCAGTCTGGTCTCCAAATTTTCCAACCAAACGACCTTCGGTGGGGGAAGAAAGCTCATCTGTGTTTTTGGTGGTGGCAACCCTCTGCTACACTCTCAGCATCCACTGCGCAGCTGTTTGAACTGTCAGCCGGCTTTTGGATGCTGGCCCACCCTCCAGAGCAGGCATCAATACCACACCATTCCACATCACATAACACTGAGCAGGCAACAGGATAAAAGCAGGCAAATCAAACACTCGCTGCTCAGTGGATGTCACATCCTCGCAGATAACGGTCGAGCGGAAAAGCGGAAAATACATATATATAACAACATTCAGAAAGTATACAAATCGCACAGCGGACTCTGCCGCGTTGTGAAAATGTTAAATATCTGCTAGATGCGAATAAATGCAACAGTGACAAGTGCTCGACGAGAAATCGAATTAATTTTGTGCAACCGGAAACTGCCATCGAAAGCAATACAAAGATGCGGTCGAGGAGATTCTTTGTCTTGCCGCCGCTGCTGGTCCTGCAATTAATTTGCACCTGCCGAGTGGCTTTAGCTTTGCCCGATATCATTAAGATTGGTAAGTAAATGCAGCATCGGAAACCATTGAAGTTCAAGTATTTGGTAACTGGATTCATTAAATGAAAACAAAATTCCACCAACATCTCTCAGCCGCTGTGTATCGATTTTTTTCACGTCATAATCAAGAGCGCGTTTCTCTGTGTCATCATACTCGTGTGTGTGTGTATGTATTTGATACACGCGGCTGTGTGTGGTTTGTTTGTTTTTATTTCAATGCTCTGGGATTTCCCGCGGCTTCGGCCATCACAAAAATCACCACCTCAGGAAGTGAGCCTGAAAGTATGCTGTAATTTATAGAATGCATACTCGTGGACGCCATTTCCGGCTGATCTAAAATCACTTTACACTGCCTATGACTATCCCTCATTATTGACATTTCCAATTACATTTTTTTTTGATCCCCGCAGGTGGTCTGTTCCATCCCTCCGATGACAACCAGGAGCTGGCCTTCCGCCAGGCAGTGGACCGCATCAACTCCGACCGTTCTATTCTGCCGCGCTCAAAGCTGGTGGCCCAGATCGAGCGCATCTCTCCCTTTGACAGCTTCCATGCCGGAAAAAGGGGTAAGTACCACCGCCGACGCCGCTCTGCAATTGTTGACTTGGCCTGTTTTCCCACTGCCCTGCCCACCTGCCATCTTTGGTGTGCGTGTGTGTTACCTTGACTCCACCTTAACCCAACGCAGCTGGCTGCATATTTGATTGAGTCAAAGCGCCCTTTGTTCGGCTTTTTGACTAACTCAACATTATCAACTCCGCATCTCTCTTTGTGTTCATTTTTGGTTTTCATTCAATTCACCCTTTTGTTTGATTTTGCATTTGATTTGCGATTTATGTTGTTATTTGATGCCTGGGGTCCTGATTTCCTTTCATCTCCTGGCCAGGCTGTAATATATGAGCTTTAGTTTTATATATACATATATGCTGCACTTGTCGATCTTATTCGGTAATTAAACATTTTATTGTTATATATGTTTTCTTTTTCAATTATTATTAAGGTTTCTAAGTTTTCGATTTCAAAGACTATAAGCTTCTTATGTATGCATTTTAAGTTCCTATGCACAGTCTTGCCAATTATTTTTGAGTACTATTAAAGCAAAGAACATAGTGAAACGACATTGCAACGCAATGAATCAGGTATTTTCGGCCCTATAAATCATAGAAGCAACAAACGAAGCACATTTATACATAATTGTCAAAAATGTAAAGAATTTGAATATAAACAATCAGTTAAATGCTTTCCAAATTGAAATGAATCCTTCTTAGACTTAGATATGATCGATTTTAGATTTGGCTTCTGATCCAATTACAAACTGCAAGACAATATAATTTCCAACGTTTGATTCATTAAAAAGATATTGTTATTAAATAAATTCAATTACATTTCTTGGTCTTATTTAGCTAGTAAACCTCAAAGTTTTGGAGATTAAATAAAAGCATAGAACCTATAAAGCATTCATTCATACACCATATCGATCGATTCTTAGCAGGAATAAGAAGGCAAGACTAAGCTTTTAAGCCTTAAAAAAAACTCCTCTACAACTAATATCTTTAAAAGTCGACAAAAGAAATATTGGAATGGTGCAACCCAAAGCCAGTTTTCACTCTGCAATTTTAAGTTTTATGTGGGGGGCGAAAATGAAACTTCTGCTGGCACTTGATAATCGTTAAAAGCTGAAGATGAATCGTAAAGCGGGCAAAGGAACGTGAGCCAACTGTCGAATATCCTGTGATAAATGAGACACAAATGACGCTGAAGTTGGACAGTGCGGTGCCCGAAAAGGACCTCGCCTGGCCAACGTGAAAAACACACTTCAGCACGACAGTAACGAGGCGCCCAGGTGCCCACAGGTGCACACATACGAGGCTAGGAAAGTACTAGGGCAGGTTAACCGCACCGACCACCGACAGACTCAACCCATCGAAGTGAAGCTGCACATGCACTTACACGTGCTTAGCGGGCCTGATGAGCCAAAGGATGTTGAAAAGGATGACTGAAGTGCCGGGGCGGGGGCGAAATCCCGAAGGACTGTGGACGGAGGGGGGCTGGGCCAGACGGAAAGGGCAAACGACAAAACGAAATTATGTCACACTGAAGTGCATTTTAAATATGCGAACGAGGCTAACTGAACATTAGCGAGCAAGAGGCAAGCACATTACCGTGCTACTTGGTCTCGTTTTTACTTTTTGATCCTTTCAAGTCGCAGACCGAGATTATCTCCCACACAAGCGGATTGTGTGGGGAAATTGGATTGGGATTGGGTTTGGGCTTGAGATTGGAATTGAAATTGCAATGGGAATGGGAATGGGATGGCGCTGGGAGCAGAGCATATTACTGGGAAATCAATTTGTGACTTTTAAGCTCTTTGGGATTTGTGTTTCACTCAATTTGCCATAAGGAATGTGTGTCAAAAGTAGCACCCCGCAGATATTTCACAGTGGTTTGGCCTGAGGGGGATTCGAGTTTCCACAAATAAGTTGCATATAAAGCCCAATTGCATTGTTATTTGTTTTGCAGTTTGCGGTTTATTGAACATCGGAGTTGCCGCCATTTTTGGGCCTCAATCCTCTCACACCGCCAGCCACGTCCAGAGCATTTGCGACAACATGGAGGTGAGTAGTAAGCAGCCAAGAGCAGAAGCAACAAAATACACATACATTCACTTGTTCCAGATTCCTCACTTGGAGAATCGCTGGGACTACCGGCTGAGGCGGGAGAGCTGTCTGGTGAATCTTTATCCGCACCCTAATACGCTCTCCAAGGTAGGCCCAATCTCCCCAATCCCCTACGACTGCACTTTGTAGTAATGCTTTTTCGCTTGCTTGCAGGCTTATGTGGATATCGTACGACACTGGGGCTGGAAGACGTTCACCATAATCTACGAGAACAATGATGGCATCGTGCGGCTGCAGGAGCTGCTCAAGGCTCACGGGATGACACCCTTTCCTATTACTGTGCGCCAATTGAGCGACAGTGGGGATTACAGGTAAGCCTTGTTAATCGTCTCCAACAAGAAGATGTCCCACTTTTGGGGATCATTCAAACTATTTACATTAAATATAATACTTCTCCCTTACTTAATGTGATTATTACTTTAAACACTATTATAGACCCCTGCTGAAGCAGATCAAGAACTCGGCGGAGGCACACATCGTGCTGGACTGCTCCACGGAGCGCATCCATGAGGTGCTGAAGCAGGCCCAGCAGATCGGGATGATGAGTGATTATCACAGCTATCTGGTGACCTCACTGGATCTGCACACGGTGAATCTGGAAGAGTTTCGGTATGGAGGAACCAACATCACCGGTTTCCGGCTGATCAATGAGAAGATCGTCTCAGACGTGGTCCGTCAATGGAGCATCGACGAGAAGGGACTGCTGAGATCCGCTAACCTGACCACCGTGCGCTCCGAGACGGCGCTCATGTATGATGCCGTGCATCTGTTCGCCAAGGCGCTGCACGATCTGGACACATCGCAGCAGATTGACATCCATCCAATTAGCTGCGATGGACAGAGCACCTGGCAGCATGGCTTCAGCCTGATCAACTACATGAAGATTGTCGAGATGAAGGGCTTGACCAATGTGATCAAGTTTGACCATCAGGGCTTCCGAACGGATTTTATGCTAGACATTGTGGAGCTGACTCCGGCTGGTATTCGGAAAATAGGCACCTGGAACTCCACCCTGCCCGATGGCATCAACTTCACGAGGACCTTTAGCCAAAAGCAGCAGGAAATTGAGGCTAATCTGAAGAACAAGACGTTGGTGGTTACAACAATACTGGTGAGCATTTAAAGGATTCCGATTATTTTTTAAAGGAATTTTCTAACCTTTCTCCTGCAGAGCAATCCCTATTGCATGAGAAAGGAGTCGGCGGTGCCTCTAAGTGGCAACGATCAATTTGAAGGCTATGCCGTGGATCTCATCCACGAGATCTCCAAGTCCCTGGGCTTCAACTACAAGATTCAGCTGGTGCCAGATGGCAGCTATGGTAGCCTCAATAAACTGACGGGGTAAGGAGCAAAGGTTGCTTTAGAAATAATATTAAATAAATAATAATAATTATTTATAGAGAGTGGAACGGCATGATACGAGACTTGTTGGAGCAGCGAGCCGACCTGGCCATTGCGGATCTCACCATCACCTTTGAGCGTGAGCAAGCGGTGGACTTCACCACGCCTTTTATGAACCTGGGTGTATCCATATTGTATCGGAAACCTATCAAGCAGCCACCGAATCTGTTCTCCTTCCTGTCACCTTTATCCCTGGATGTGTGGATCTACATGGCCACTGCCTACTTGGGTGTCTCTGTGCTGCTCTTCATCCTGGCCAAGTGAGTGATCCTTTAGCAGTGATGACTTTAACTTCTAATTGTTTTTATTGTCTAGATTTACACCCTACGAATGGCCGGCCTATACGGATGCACATGGCGAGAAGGTCGAGAGTCAGTTTACCTTGCTCAACTGCATGTGGTTTGCCATTGGATCTCTGATGCAGCAGGGCTGTGACTTTCTGCCCAAGTAATTCTACAACTCCAAAACTTGTGTTCTTTGAGTCTAAAGTATCTTTTTCCAGGGCTCTATCCACGCGCATGGTGGCCGGCATCTGGTGGTTCTTTACTCTGATCATGATCTCCTCTTACACTGCCAACCTGGCTGCCTTTTTGACTGTCGAGCGCATGGACTCGCCCATCGAGAGTGCCGAGGATCTGGCCAAGCAGACGAGAATCAAATACGGAGCCTTGAAGGGCGGCAGCACGGCAGCTTTCTTTAGGGTGAGTTTGTAGAAGGAAACTAAGAGAAATCTTAAACAAAATCAAACGAAAATCCACGCAGGACTCGAAGATTTCCACTTATCAGCGAATGTGGTCCTTTATGGAGTCGGCTCGTCCCTCGGTCTTTACAGCCAGCAATGGAGAAGGTGTAGAGCGTGTGGCCAAGGGCAAAGGTATGTCAAGATGCTTACTTTATTTGGATATATTTTATCAAGCCTTCAACTTGCAGGATCCTATGCCTTTCTAATGGAATCCACCTCCATCGAATATGTGACTGAGCGCAACTGCGAGCTAACGCAAGTAGGAGGCATGCTGGACACCAAGAGCTACGGCATAGCCACCCCACCCAGTAAGTCCGGAAATAGAATATGAGTTAACCTATTCCCAAAATAACCTTGTTCCCTCCCACAGATTCACCCTACCGCACCGCGATCAATAGCGTTATACTCAAGCTGCAGGAGGAGGGCAAGCTGCACATCCTGAAAACCAAGTGGTGGAAGGAGAAACGCGGCGGCGGCAAATGCCGGGTGGAGACCTCCAAGTCCTCATCGGCAGCCAATGAGCTGGGCCTGGCCAATGTGGGCGGCGTGTTTGTGGTACTGATGGGCGGCATGGGCGTGGCCTGTGTCATTGCCGTCTGCGAATTCGTATGGAAGTCACGCAAGGTCGCCGTAGAGGAGCGCCTGAGCGCGATACTGAACGAATGAGAAAAGTCGTAAACCCGGGACGAGTGGGTCTAGGCGACGTGGGTCCCGGGAGTGCAATCGAAGATGCAAGTAGAGGCGAAGGCATGCAATCCGGTAGAGCATATATCAACAGCAATAGACGAAATAGCCAGTTGTCGACATCCCACGCAGATATGGGGCTTACACGAACTTCGGACGTATCAGTGTCAAGATTTCCGGAGTTGCCACCAATGAAAGTTTGCACCGATTTGAAGGCTACGTGGAACCAGATATTAATATACATTTAAGCAGCATATGCATATGAGGGCCATATGCCAAATATATATTTATACAGGTTATACTCCCTTTCGTAACATACTCGTACTAACCATATACATAAACTTTACACTACAGCAGAGCTGCACACACAGTGTCCTAGAGCAAGTTCTTAGAGACACTCTGCGGACAGCTCTTCACTAAAGGAACCACAACGCAAATACTTGCAACAAATCGAATCGAATCGTATTGCATTTATATTTGAAAGCATTTTTGGGAATTGACCTATAGGCGTAATTGTAGCTAAATTATTTATACACACGGAACGATCAGAATGCATATAACCCAGTGGACAGGATCAGCGTATTCTTAACCCTAAGAAGCCGGACACAATTTACACACAACAAATCGAAGCCGATATTTTCGACGAACTTAGCCAGTAGACCTAACCTAAGTGAGTTGTAACTCTTAGCTTAGACATACTACTCCCACTTTTCCCCGTCTTCCCCAGCCGTGTCTCTCTCTCTCTGTCTCCCCCTTAAGATATAAGATTGTAAAATGTAATTACCACTCATAGAGGCGATTCAAACAGACAATTTCATAAAATACTTACAATTAAATAAAACCAGTTAACAAAAACATCACATTGCTGACCGCATTGATATCCTTCGACGAACACCTGCGCCCAATTTGACATTTGATGTGGCTGTCGACGCCTAACCGCAAACTGTCAATCACCGGGCTTTTCCACTTTCCCTCAAAATGAATTTTTCATGGCGCCTGCACACGCTTCGCTGCAAGTGCGGCATGTGTATGGCATTAATTGGCTTTGTTTTATCAGCGAGGTAACCTCGTTACCTTTGCGGGCTTTGCTTCTCAGTCGTCTTTGGGGCATCCTGGCGTCATGCGGTCATCGGCTTGTATCCTGCTCCTTTGCGGACTACAGCTCATCCTCTGGGTTCCCATACAGGGCAATGACTTTTCCTCCTTTCTGAGTGCCAACGCTTCGCTGGGTGAGTTCTGCAGGATATACCTATTGGCGGAAACCTAATGCTTATCGGATGTACACAGCCGTTGTGGTGGATCACGAGTACATGACCACGCATGGTCAGAATATTTTGGCCCATTTTGAAAAGATCCTGAGCGACATTATCAGGGAGAATCTGAAGAATGGAGGCATTAATGTGCGGTATTTCAACTGGAACTCGGTGCGATTGAAAAAGGGTAAGAGGAAAGGTCAAAGAGCAAGTGCCAAACCATATACAGAGGCATCTTATTTTTATATCCTTGAAGGGTATTATAATTTAAGTCAAAAGCTTGTAACGCTTTGAAGGAGTCATTTCCTTTGATCAGCATCGAAAGCCAAGTTGATCTGGCTATGTCCGGGTAATATTTATTTTTTCAAAATTTTTAAAATTTTCAAAAATTTTCAAAAATTTGAATTTCTTTAATATTTAAATTGAGTATGCAGATTAAATAGCATAATAAAACCTAACACAGAAAAGCTTTTCGAATTAAAATTAATGCTTTTTTGGATTAGCTATGAGTTTTTTAAACATTGATTTGTCGGGAAAAATGTCATATAAAAATAAAGATAAATATTGATTCAAATAATGCGAATATTTTAAGTGTAATAATGTTTGATTTCCGATTCAATCCTATAATATATATATATACGCTTTGGCGTTTCGAAAATAGGGTCCTTTCTTGTTTTATAAAACCTTGGTATGAACACCTTTTCTTGGTTTCTCTAAGCTCCTAAAATCCCGGATTTTTTCCAGATTTCTTAGCTGCCATTACGGTAACGGATTGTGAGAATACCTGGAACTTTTACAAAAACTCTATGGAGACCTCAGTTCTCTTGATTGCCATCACGGACTCCGATTGTCCACGGCTCCCACTCAACAGGGCTTTAATGGTAAGCTCAAACCCCTAAGCTCCATTTGGTTCCTACAAGAATATAATCCTCCTATATCCTAGATTCCCATGGTTGACCACGGCGATGAATTTCCACAAATTATTCTGGATGCCAAAGTGCAGCAGATTCTAAACTGGAAGACAGCTGTGGTTTTTGTGGATCAATCCATATGTGGGTAGACATACTCTTCAGATATAATACTCTATACATAGTCTTCAGATATAATATTTTAGCTTTTCTAATATTTAATTTTTAGTGGAAGAAAACGCCGTTTTGGTCAAGTCCATTGTACACGAAAGCACCACCAATCACATCACTCCGATCTCACTGATTCTCTACAAGATCGATGACTCGTTAAAGGGTCAAAAGAAGAGGAATGCTCTCCGGCGGGCCTTGGCCCAATTCGCACCCACCAAGCACGAGGAGAAGCGCCAGCAGTTCCTAGTGGTATCCGCCTTCCATGAGGACATCATAGAAATAGCCGAGACGCTCAACATGTTCCACGTGGGCAATCAGTGGATGTTTTTTGTACTGGATAAGGTGCGTCGCGACTTTGATGCCGGCACGGTGACCTTTAATTTGGACGAAGGCGCCAACATAGCCTTTGCCCTCAATGAGACCCTGCCCGACTGCGAGGACACGCTGAACTGTACCATCTCCGAGGTGAGCCTAGCCCTGGTGACTTCCATTTCCAAGATGACCGTCGAGGAGCAGTCCGTATATGGAGAGATCTCCGACGAGGAATGGGAGTCCATACGCTTTACCAAGCAGGAAAAACAGGCTGAAATTTTGGAGTACATGAAGGTTAGTAGTAAGTTTTTAAGGAATTAATATTAATTTGAAATATTTTTCCTTAATACCTTATCTAATGAAAAATAAAATATTATTTAGGAAGTAAAGGACTCTGAAAAGCTGAACTCGTAGTCATAATTCTATAAATTAACTTTAATTATTTTATTTAAGGACTATTTGAAGGCCAACAGCCGGTGTGCCAGCTGCGCCAAGTGGCGCATTGAGACCGCCATCACCTGGGGCAAGAGCCAGGAAAACCGGAAGTTCCGTTCAGGTCAGTCTGACATCCAACCTGCCTCTCCAATTTTAACTCAATCACCGTTTCCCTATTAGAAGCTCCAACACGCGATGCCAAGAACCGAAATTTCGATTTCATCAACATCGGCTATTGGAGTCCTCTACTCGGATTCGTTTGTCAGGAACTAACCTTTCCCCATATCGAGCATCACTTTCGCAACATCACCATGGACGTGCTGACAGTGCATGTGAGTCTTTGAGCCAGGAATATAATCCTTATTATTGGTTCAAATCGCTCGTAGAATCCGCCCTGGCAAATCCTGACCAAGAACCAGCACGGTGTGATCGTCGAGCACTCGGGCATTGTGATGGAAATCCTAAAGGAGCTGAGTCGGGCCCTGAACTTTAGTTACTATCTGCACGAAGCCGCCACGAGGGAGGATTATTCTTTTAGCACGGCCTTGAATCCAAACGAAACCGTGAGTTTATTCTTACCAAGGTTCGGTTACTTTTCATCAATGGTTTCTCAACAGGATGAACTGGCGGGCTCAATGACCTTTCGCCTACCGTACCGCGTGGTGGAAATGGTCCAGGGCAATCAGTTCTTCATAGCCGCCGTGGCTGCCACCGTGGAGGATCCCGACCAGAAGCCCTTCAATTACACCCAGCCGGTCAGTGTACAGAAGTACTCGTTCATCACACGCCAGCCGGATGAGGTGTCCCGCATCTATCTGTTCACGGCTCCCTTTACCATGGAGACCTGGGGCTGTCTGGTAGGCATCATTCTGCTAACCGCTCCCATGCTGTATGCCATCAACCGCCTGGCTCCTCTGGATGAGATGCAAATCGCGGGCTTGTCCACTGTGAAGAGTTGCTTTTGGTACGTCTTTGGAGCCCTACTACAGCAAGGCAAGTTTAGGAGCAATACTATCATTTTCTTCAACTGAGTTTTCCTCTTTTAACAGGTGGCATGTATTTACCCAGAGCCGATAGTGGCCGCCTGGTGGTGGGCTTCTGGTGGATCGTGGTCATCGTACTGGTTACCACCTACTGCGGCAACCTGGTGGCTTTCCTCACCTTCCCCAAGTTCCAGCCGGGTGTCGACTACCTCAGCCAGCTGCAGCGCCACAAGTCCATCTCGCAGTACGGCCTGCGGAACGGCACCTTCTTTGAAAAGTATGTGCAGACGACGACTCGGGAAGACTTTAAATACTACGTGTCGCGTGCGACCATTTACGGTAGTGCCCAGGGCGAGGACATCGATGCGGTAAAGAGTGGACATCGCATCAACATCGACTGGCGCATCAACCTGCAGCTGATAGTGCAGCAGCATTTCGAGCGCGACAAGGAGTGCCGCTTCGCCCTGGGCAAGGAGAGCTTCGTGGACGAGCAGATCGCCATGATAGTGCCGTCACAGAGCGCCTATTTGCACCTCATCAATCGTCACATCGACAGCATGTTCCGCATGGGCTTCATTGAGCGCTGGCACCAGAAGAATCTGCCCAGCGCCGACAAGTGCAGCGGCAAGAGCGCCCTCCGCCAGGTCACGAACCATAAGGTCAACATGGACGACATGCAGGGCTGCTTCCTGGTACTGCTCCTGGGCTTCGTGATAGCCGTCGTCGTCGGCTGCTGCGAGTTTTGGTATCACCGCTTCTACGTGCTCAGCGATAATCGCAAAAGCAAGGAATTCACCATTTGACCACTGACCACAACACGTTCCGTGTAAAATAGTTTGTTTAATGTTTGAAATTACTTTATGAACATCAACCTGCGTTCTGCATTAAAGAGTAGATAGCAACTCGATCAACATCCCGCGACACTGTCACACACTCTATGTGGAGTTGGCGTTGGGGCCGCGACGGCGTCCGAAGCCCTGGACGAAGTTGACGAAGCGACGGTTGTACTGGATCCTGCGCTTGGCGCGTCCGGTCTTCTTCTTCTTCTTCTCTTGCTTCTCCACCTTGGGGGTCTGTCCCTTGACCTTACCGGCACGCGCCAGAGAGCCGTGCACCTTACCACCAAGCATGGGAATGTTGATGTCCAGCTCGAAGGAGCTGAGCGCGGTCACGGGCGTATCGTTGGCCAGGGTGGTGCCCTCGCAGTTGAGGCTGAACTCCTCGCAGCTGAAGCCATGCAGCTGGGCCAGTTGGTTCTATCGGGCGGATTGGGAAGAGAAACCACATTTAGGTTAGGGTCGCTCGTTTGTTGTTGTGCGTCGATGGGCCTACTCACCTTGACTCCGGCAATGGTGGCATCCTGGGACACCTCCAGGGCCTGGATGGTCTCTAATCCACGTACGAAAAGCTGCATGTTGACTCGCTCTGCAAAGGAACCATGCCTGTAATTAGTTTTCATTTTGGCAGCAATACGGAACACGTGTGCCCGCTGAGTCAACTGTTTGGCGCCGTTCGAAGCCTTCCCCAGTTGGCATTTCATTCGCCGCGCACTCAGTCCCCGTTCGCACACACATTCCACCGGTAATTTCCATTTATTGGGTGCATTTTCTATTATATTTTCGCAAAAAATCGACGGCTCACCTTTTAACTTGGTGTGCGGATCCCGAAAAAGAAAGATGGCGGCAGTGTGACCGCGTCGGCAAAAAATACTCTGTCTAATCTGTCATAAAATCGGTGCGAAAACAGGATAAATCTATTATAAACTATTCGAAAAAGGTTTGAAACTATAATAAAAACGTGAAAGTCGTGAGTAACCAAAACTTATCGATGAAAGTATCGATTACACCAAGTTTGGGAAATTTGGCAGCACTTCTTCACGTGTATAAAAAAGCGAGTGTGGCCAATTATCACATATAAGTTAAGCGGGATATTTAAATAATAGACCAAATATGTTTGTATTCTTCTGCTTTTAGTTTTAACTAAAATTCTTTAAAATGACCAGCAAAAGTAAATATATGGCAAGTATCAGAGCATTTGATGTGTAAATAACTAAAAAATGAGCATTGGTAATGTGTCTGAATATTAAGCCGAAAATCGTCAATTAAAAAACACTTAAAAGCCTCTGTATCCGCCACACCACTATATTAATTATTCAAATAATAATATCATACACATATTTTTATATTTTTGTTTTTTACAGCAATAAAGAAAGTTTAATTTTCATTGAACACAAACATGTAAAGGCCTTTGTCTTTTCCTTACTGAATACATCGGAAAAGGACAGTCTGGCTGACGCCCTGCTAAGCCCGCACACCCCGCTTACCTCAATCTTTGGGAAAATGGGAATTACGTTGAGCCCGCCGCCACTAGTCCTCGCCCGCGCCCGTCTTGACCCAGTTTCCGTGGGCCTCTCATGCGCCTGCGCCTGCTCCTAGTCCCGGTGAGGTCCTTTGTGTGATCCGAAGAAAGGACAACAGAGCAGACGCTGTGTGTTATTCTACGCCATTAGAACAAATATTGCCGCATTGTTTGTCAAACAGGACTAGATTAGTAACATAAACATTCCGTCATAGAATGCAAATCATAAGCCGATTTGACAAATTTGTACGAATTATCTGCAACTAATGAGTGTGGCTTAAATAGTTCTGGATCCTTCGAGTGTCTGGATATGGGAGAGGAAGGTCACGCTTGCTGAAAAGACAGTGATCAGGTCTAAATATATATAGATATATATATATATATATATATATATATGTTGTCTCTATATAATCATGGGTTTGATATCAAAACAGATCCGACATTCGATATTCTGGTAACCCTTCGACGATGTCCACCTTTCGATGTTCATTTTAGATAAATAAATTGACGTGGATCTCCTGGAGGCCCATTCCCTGCTCATATGATCGGATTAGCTTAGGATTACGGATAGAGATCTCCTGGATTTGCGTAAACTCATTTGCCAGACCTTGTGGCAGAATCAAGGCTTGGGAAATGCATCCGCTATCGGTTCCCCCCTCGAGGACTCTGATGCTCTTCTTTTTCTGGAGGAACTGCCGCTCTGTAATCTGATATTTTTGCATGTTTGCAAACAAAGGCAGCGGAAAAACAAATTACTCTTGACCATAAAAACAGCGGCAACAATTGCAAAATCGGCTTAGCCTGCCGCCCTTCGTCTTCCTTTCGTTCCTGCTTGCTGTTTTTCCGGCACGCGAATTTCCTCATTTTCATTCACCTTTTTTGGTTGTTTTCCCATATGACATCGATTTTCGGCCACACATGTCTTATCATTACTTATCCTGGGGGCGGCTGCGTTTGATCCCATTATGCCAATGTGATGCTGATGCCATGGGAAGCAGAAGAACCAGTGAAGTCAACCAGTTTCCGCACTGAAATATTAAGTTACTCAATCCATATTCAATTTGCATCAGGTGAAATGGATATCTAGGGGTTGTGGGAAAAATAGTTATCGTTTTTAATACAAATTATAACAGAAGTGCCTTTAAATTAGCTTTTTTCTAATACCCTCCGAAAAAATTTAATAGCTTATTCTCTTCTAACAAACTTTACGAACATTAAATAAATATTCTTAGGAATACCTAATGCCCAATGGTATATTTCAAATTATTTTAAAAAGAACACACTTTAGGTGAGTGTACGACTACGAAGGTGTTACGATGGTTTAAGAACTTTTTATAACTTAATTACTTAATTTATACATTTTTCCTGCAAGTAAATATATCTATCTTAAGAAAATATTACAAACCACTAACAATGATATTTGCTAATGTAGAAATTCTAACAAGTCCAGAAATATAAAACCAAAAATTAATTAATTAAAACTAAACTGAAGAGCCAACATAAACAAAAAAAAAAACTTTCTATATCCTTGCAGTTTGCCATTCCATTATATAGGATCGTATCGGAGTGGTTATTATAATTCATACGTTTTTTAAGTTCCAGAATATTTTTTGTTGTATATTCATCCGTTTTAAAACAAACAATTCCCTTATTTTTAAAGCTTTCTAAATAAAACTTTACCAGTAGTCTTTACTATAATGCAAGTAGCTTTTCATAACTCGGGACGGACTAGGTCTCAATATTTAAGCAAGAGTATTCTATTCAATAATAAATTATTGTTTAATAAGTAATTAATTAATAAGTAATAATCAAGTTAGAATCCATTGAAAGTTCTTTAACTCGCATAGTGATTTATAAGACAACCACAGAGACCATCCCAATTTAAACAAATTCAATTAAAATATTGTCATGTTTTTCTTCTATTTATGTTAACTTAAAGATATTTAACTTATGCTTATTATTATCTTATACCTATTTAATTATTGTAGATATTTACAAAAAGCCACTAAGTTACACAGCAACAGCCGTAAAGTCTTCTAAATTGTCTCAAGTTAAACGACAACGATCATTTCCGGTTCCGGACTGGAGGCATTTGATGAGAAGGTGGAGTCACAGCTCTCGTCCTTTTCACGTTTCTCCCGTCTCTCGCGAGCCCGTCGGTTCTGGAACCAGATCTTCACCCGGGTGTTGGTCAGGTCCAAGGTCTCGGCCAGCTTGTTGGCATCCTCGGCACTCAGGTAGTTGGACTCCTTGTAGGCGCTCTCCAGCGCCTGGAGCTGATGGGGCGTAAAAGGAATGCGGGGCAGACGGCCTGGCGTCCGTTTCGCGGGAGCACTCTGCCGCAGTCCCCGCGGAAGCTTGGGAGGATGGTAACGGGTATACTGCAGCCAGTCGTACACCGGTACCTTAGCCTCCTCTGCAGCTGGCGGAGATGCTCGAAGCTCCTTGGTGGGATATCCGGCGTACGGGTGGAATGGCAAACTACCGCGTAGTCGTTGTATGACTCCCAAGGAGGCATTCGTACCCACATATCTGTCGCCGGCACGGTTCAGGATATACTCAATGCTGAAGTCACTCATCCTGGTGCGATCCTTTCGCTGGGCTGTTTCAAGTGCAACTGCTGAGTTCGCTGCGCATCCCCGAGCTATTTATCCAAGGACTGCCCATCGCCGCCATTTGCATTCGACAGAGACAGTGCGGCCATCCCTGTCTCGCAGGACGAAGTGCTGCCTGGCCCAATACAAATCCGATTCGGGAGCAGCGAGGCGTTTAATAGGCGTTTCCCAACTTTGGCCAGGTAGCCGTCAGTCGGTTGTCTCTGGTCGGAGCTCAATTATATTACCCTTATCAGCGGTCGAGATTAGGCCCGGGAAGGCAATAAAGAACACGATTCCATGAGCAATTGTATCTGACTTTCAATCAAATGTTCGTCGTTTACAATGTTTGTGATTACAGCTTCTGTTTTATGTTGATATCTTTATGCCCTAACCGGAAGTTGGTAGAGGTTAATAAACTTAATGGTAATTAGTAAAGCATTTTGTCGATTTATTGAGGGAAACTATCAATTCTTAATCTTTGCGTAATCAAAATACATAGAAATTAAACTGAGTCACACTTTATGAGGTTTATGAGGAATTTATACATATATTCCCTAATGCCTATTATTATTATCTTATTCTATAACAATCTTAGCAATATGATTTATATCACATTTAGTCTTAAAGTTGATCAATCTTAAAAAAAAGTTATACATGGCTCGTATCTAAAGGGTTTATACTAACACAGTTCCCAGGATATCTCCTTTTAAAATCATTATAATTATTTTAATTGATTATAATATGCATTACTCCTAAAATTTTTTAACTAAAACTATGTATTTATTAACTTCTTTGATCAAAGTGTTTTATTTTTATAACAATATAAAAACATTAACTTCCAAAAAAGAAAGTATTTACAAGTTAAGAGCATGCAGTCGTCGGTACTTCAAAAAAAATAAATACTTAACAAATTTTGTTTAGTTTATAATTTGTTGTGGTTATGGCAGTGGCTACCAGGGTGGTTCTGATTCCCCTCCCAATCCGCTGCCATGTTTTGGCCGAGCCCTCCAATCCCATTCAATCCCAAGCCCATCCCTTCAATGGGAAAACAAGTTGAGCCTGATATATATTTTGATGCGCGTATGTTTTGATTGATTCGTAAATGTGTTTTCATAACAGTTGCCTTTGGGAAACGAGTTTTGCGGCAACCCTCGCTCCTCGCGGGTCTCAAAGAGTATCAATTACACTGTTAATTGCGAATAACCATCGGATAGTCAGCATATGGCAGATACAGTGAAGAACACCATAGAAAACGATGGAGTAGAAGGCTTGCTAATGACATCATATAATGTATTTACCAGTTTTCTGCTATGATTGTTAGGAACATGCAATCAACCGATTCAATGACTCTAATACCTCAAATAAACCTCAAAGATTCGGAGATGAGTTTTTTAATAAATTGAGCTAGTGACCAGTTTTATTGCCTTGAGACAATCGTTTTCTAAAGTCATAAATACACATAGCAAGTGGCGAAGCTTCTGCTAACATTTATTAGTTAATAAGCTTGTTTAATAAATTCAATAAAATATATTATATATTTGAAAATATTTGATATTTTAGTCCCTTTTGAAGATATCGGCTATCTACCTTGAAATTAATAGTACTAGGTCAACATCCGTTTCTAAAATATCATACCGACTTTCAAGGTGTGAGCTATAATATTCGAAAGATAACGTCAGGAAATCCACTTTTAACATTATACAGCATTTATATATATAGATAATATTGAATTTTATGATCCCATAGCGTTAACATTGATTGCAACTTCTTGGAAACCTATCAGTTAATTACAGTTCTATATAGTGAGTGCCCCCAATACCGTATGAGTCCTGAGATTGATATCTGTATTTCCTAAGAACTTCGACTTTTGGTTAAAATTGTGATTTTATAGTTTAAATAAAATAATAGATTTTATTAAATACGAAAAGATTTTAAATGAAAATCAGTAGAATCCAAAAACTGACGCAACTAATAAAATTCTGAATCAATCAATCTTTATTTATATATAGATAAATTAGAATTATAAATTATATAAAATGAGTAACAGATTGGTAAATAAATTCTTTCAATTTCTAGAGTACTTAAACTTAATTTCAATGTTTGATTTGATAAATCACAACTTTTATAAAGCGCTTTTAGGTCAATTTTGCTCATTTTAAAAACATATATTCATTGATTTTCTCATTATCTATGAAAGAGGCTTGTCCCCAAATTCTTAGAATAAGATTAACAACATTTTAATGTTCAAGTGCATTTGAGATGATAAGAAGCGCACTTCACAATACAACCTCTTTGATAAGATAAACTATTCTTATACTTGTACTCAATCCAGTTATAAAATATAGAACACTTCATAATATTGTATTTTACTGATGCTCCGTGATTGCGGTAAGTTTTAGTTGAAATTTCTTGTTAATCTCTTAACAATTATCTGCCAATTGTCGTGTAATTGTCAACCAATTTTGAATTTGCACAATCTCAAGGCTGCAATTACTTTGTCGGAAGTGGTTGCCAGGAACTAACCGTAGATTGCCTCGTGCGATACGCTCTATTACTCACTGGAACAAAGGCCTCGGTATCCGAGATCCGCAAGATAATGAAAGGAGTCCTTTTTAGTGCAATCCTGCGGTTAAACAGAGCTGGGACCAAGACCCTAGCAGATGCAGAATTTCTTAGTTTCCTTGACCGAAGTGCATTTCGATTGATAGGAATAGTAGTCCAGTCGACTGATGCTGGGCACCCGAATGGATATCCTTTGAGTCTCCGGATCCCAGTTCACCGTAGCCTCGAAGAAGGCGTTGCCTGGCTGGGCATAGAGCTGCAGTAGATACGCATTTGTGTTACCCCTTTGTTGGAGCGATACTACTCTTCCTACCCTTAGGTGATGGCACTTTTCTGCTCCTTTTTTCCCCGCCACAAACTCGTTAATGGCCTCCACCAGCTGAGTGGACATAGCTCCCATCCTGGTATCCGTTGAAGGCAACTCGGTGAAGCTATCGCAGCCGCACCAGTGCTCATCGATTCCAGCCTGAGAGCAATTTCGAGACGAATCCACTTCCTCGAAGACGCTATGGCAGGTGGGACAGCCTTCGGGGCGGGGCAGCTGCTCCGCTGGGGTGTCCAGCCTGAGGATGTGCTTCAGCGTGGCATGTATATCGTATGGCGATGTAAGGCGATTCCGGTTCGCCCGCAGATTTTGCATAAATTCCGGGTACTTCTCCCGTATCCATCGCGGCACGCGCATATAGAAAAAGGGGAGCCGTTCCTCCAGGAAGCCGCTGTCCAATTTCCGCAATTGACCAAACCTACTTCCATGGTCGCTGAAGAAGATAATAATTGTGTTATCCATAATGCCATTCTTGTCCAACGACCGCATGTACTGCACCATCCTGGCATCCATGGCGGACGGCATGGAGAAGTCGTTGTGACTGAAGGTGTTCGTCCAGAACATACCAAAGAAGGTTCGATTTCGGTTCGCCCTGGTGAACTGCACACCCAAGTCGTAGATGTACTCGCCGGATGACCTGCGGCCCATGCAAAACGGCATGTCAGCAATCATTGTCTTCCTAAGTTCCTTCTCCAAAGCCAGGATCATAGGTCGGCCATAAACGTCCGTCGGTGGACTGCGAAACCCTCTGCTCATAAAGTCAAAAGTGGAGAACTTACTCCAATCCTCCGCGAAGGCTGTTGTGTAACCCTGGGCCTTGAAGTCCTTCCACACCAGCGGACAGGCATCCAGGCCACCTACTTGACTGGGTCGGCACCTTTCATTGGCGTAGGTCTTGTTGAATCCCGTCAGCAGAGCCATCAGGTTCGGAAAGGTATTATCGCCCATCTAAGGCATTAAAGTTTAGTTACTAATTTTTTATACATCTCCATATTTATAATACCTTGTTGTAGCCCTGCAGTTCGTTCCAGTGCTGGCCGTTCAAGTACTCGTACATGAGGGGCATGGTCAGCTGGAAGTTCATTCGGGAGACAGAATCGATGCCCCAGAGCAGGACACTGGGTCGTTTACCCAAAGCCGGAACAGAATCCTTCCCTGGATGCACGAAACTGAAGGCGTCCGTTTGCGAGACCTTCTCATGGGGACTCTTTCGGCATTCGGTGATCATGGACGTGACTTCAGTTGGGACTTGAAAGTCCTGAGGGAATTGCTCACACGGAAGAAGCCTGACAAAATGGGCTACATTTTAGTGGCCATCTCTGTTTGACACTGGATGACTTACTTGTACTTGTGATCTGCCATGGTTCGGACTCCTACTCGGAGGATCCGTTTATAGCAACAGGTAGAATTATCCTCATTTTTATGCAGCCTGTATGTGCCGGTCGTGTCATTAAAATTCACTGTGATCATATCAGGACTCCTATCGCAGACTATATAGTGATGCTTCCTATAGATCTTTCGGATGTTGCTGGCAAAGGGATCTGGATGGCGCATTTGGCACTTCGGGCTATTCACAAAGTATTTCTCTCCCGAAGCTGTTTCCAATGGGTAAGAGGCTTTCGTAGTCGTCTCAGTTAGAATTTGTTCCAAGGAGCTCAGGACTTGCAGTGTTGTACTCTCCTCCAGTTGAGCTTCTGTGGGAAATTCTTCTTCGTTTTCGGATTCCGTTGGATATTCGACAATCGGCGGAGAGGGTTCAATAATCTCTGTCCAAGGGGACATAGTGCTCGGATCTTGTAGGATATCCAAAAGACGCGAAGATATCCTTGAATTCAGCGTACTGGTTTTCAGTGAGATCTCCAAGTGACTCCCAGAAGTCGCCGCATAACCTTGGGTACTGCTCTCTAGCTGATCCTCCACAGAACTCAGACAATAGAACACAATCACAAAGAGAGCCGTGCACAGAAAACACACTTTCCCTATCCATTGTGGGGATTTCGTTTCAATGGGCTCTCCCTCATCCACTGGAATTAGCTGATATTTAATTGTCGACATACTCCCGGCGTTATCAATACCATTTCCGCAAACTATTCAAATAATATTTAGTAGGAAGCGGAGCTCCCTCCGTATGTCCACTCCGTTCGCGTTACCAGTCACAACTGCTCAACTGGCAATAGTTCAACCGCGCTGCGGATATATTATTATCGCCGACCGGAGGTTCTGTGTTAGGCACAAGACGTCATAATCCAGCAGAGCTTGCTTATGGGTTTGTCTCACCATTTTAAGTTTTTAAACTACAGATGTTTTGAGTGTTTTTTATTCAAATCAAAAAGTTTGGGGTAATGACTAATTAATTAGGAAAAGCTTGAAGCAGAAAACAATAGCGTTTCTAGCCTCGGTCGTTATGGGTTTTTAAGCTCCTCGATCATAGATAAAATGTAATTAAGTTATCAAATAAGACCACTATTTATACCGAGTATTTGCAGACAGCCAGGGAATATATTTTAGTGATCACGTAAATAAAAGAAAAAGAGTTTAAAATTAAAAATATATTGTATCAAGATCGTAAATTTAAAAAATTCCGAAAATTTATGGAGTTTTCTTTAAAGTATTACCCCAAAAACTACTCAAACTTAGTGTATGAAATTACTCTAAATCATAGCCCTATGTTATGTTCGATGGTTAATTTATTTCTTATCGAATTTTTCACTATTTCCAAAAAAATAAATATTATATCTTGCCAGCTTATCACTCATTTTTTTAATAAAAAATAAACAAGGGTATGTACTCTACGCTCTGGCTAGGGCGAGCACTATTAAGCTTCTATGATTAATTTCAATGAAAACATAGGCAAAAAACCGACTCATCAACCCATTGTTCATTATTAAGCACGATCTTGACGAAAGCATGACTTGCCATGGGTACTATGTTTGTATAATGAAATAAACGAAACAAAAATATTAGGGGTAAGGCCTTTTGGTTAAACATAAGTAGTAAAATCATTAACTTATGTTTCTGGTAATTTTTCTTAAAGATGAAGTGGATATGATCATCCCAAATTTGATTTTTCCTACCTCTGTTTTACCGAAAGCTTTAGTCTTGGGGCAGTAATCACGGAATTAGATAAATAGTAATTAGCATATTGCAAATTTTAGTAAGCTCATGTAAGCTTTGCTTATTTGCATTGTTTTTCAGCGTCCCAAAAGAGCAAGTCGTAAACATCGTTTGTATACTGAAGGTTAATATTCACACTGCATATGGCATTGTAATATTTCTACTATGGTTGCCATTAAAGATTGATAATCAATGAATAAAGATTTTTACGCTAAATTTAGTTTTTCCATTAAAATCTTTAATTATTTCCGTAGTAGAGACCGTATTTTTAGAACTTTTTCTCATACTCGGACCACTTACAGCTCAGCCAAGAGAATACATTTACGCATGCTTACATGTGTAATTAAAAATCGGCCTAAGTAATAGTAGTCTAAATAAAATTTCTAAAGGTGTTATTTACATACGTGCTGAACGTGCACTTTTTTTGTCAAGTGGTTTCTGTCATCCCGTAATATACCTTTCAAGAAATTGGTAAATTGACCGCAAGCATAGCAGTCGTGTGCCAGACTCTTAATTAATTTCAATAAATCACATTGAAATATGATGTACCCCCTTTTTATCACCACTTTAGCGTTTATATAAAGGCATTCATTTCAAGTGATTCCCAGGTTCATCGGGTCAACATTTTGGCAAATGGAAAAGCCTTGAGAACAATTCATATGATTCCGGTCGAATTATTTTAAATTTAACGAACTCGTTCATCACAGTCCCTTAAAAGTGATCATATAACTATATTCAATATTAAAATAATAATTTAATTTCTTTCCTTTTATAACCATCCCATCTTTTTGGTTAAGTTTAGTTTACTATTAAAATAATTTTTTAAGTCATAGGTCACAGGATTTATACTTTCATCCCCAAAAGCAGACTTTGGGCAGTATCTTTCTTAAGTATGTACGAACTACTGAAGTGCATATTCTTAAATAATTTTGTTGAAAAAATATACTCACTACATGAAAATAAAGCTTAGTTTGGGCCTATGACGTTAACAAAATACTAAATCCAAAGCACTAAAGCTACTTAAAGCCCTTAACATCTCAGTCTAGTTTAAATCTTCCTGACATTTTCTTTAGAGAGTCTTTAAAAATGTTGTCTCATACAGATCTTCATAACTAATTCTTAGCTATTAGTCCTTGTAATATAAAAGATACTATTCACTTTTTTAAAACGTATTAAAAATGGCACAAAAGTTTGAATCCCCAACAAAGTTTAATTTATATCATGTTTTCATTGTTTTATTTCAATAATTTAAGTCATTTAAAAATGTACAAGTACAATAATATACGTATACATATCCAATATGTATGTATACACAAAACTTCATAAATAATAAAATGTTTAAGAAACGCATTACAAATGCTATGCATGTACAATATCTAAATCTGCCAAAGATTTTGCTGCTTCCCCCGGCTGACCACGACCACAAAAGAGGTTACGGCCCAGAGAGGGGGAGTAAAAATGCGGCCGCATCGTGACAAAAAATACATAATTTCAGTTTCAGTTGTTATACATAGCATATAAATTACATAATACATTTAATTCGTAATGCCATTGCATACATTGACGTTTACACTTATTGTTCTGTTGACGACTTTTAGCTAAGTTTCTGTTACATATAACCGTATGTTCGTATCGGCCTGCTAACGGCCGCATTGCTACTGTTGGTGAGTTGATTGGTAGGTTGGTTTGTTGGTATGTTGGTTGGCTAATCGGTTCTGGAGCATCCGTTGTTTGAAAGAAATTCTCCTCCCAATGCCCAATACCTCAGTGGCCGCACTTTCGCGCACAGAGTACGCGAATAGTGCGAGCGATTGCTCATAACAATTTCTAATACATATGTATGGTAATATTTCATCAACGACTGCTCTACTGTATACGCAATCCGTAATGCGTCTCTAACCTCGGTGTATATCTATATATACGTATATGCATGTATATATCTATATCTGCTTAACGACTTCCACTACTGCTGCTCCGCCCTCTTACGCGTTGAATATCTCTACATAGTTGGCCGGATACAGGCCGACGCGACCATTCATGCGTCCCTTGCACCAGCCTTGTTCGTCTTCATCTTCAAGCTTCTCGAAAACATCACCTGAAAGCGTGAAAGGGGGAAACGGAGCGTTAGAGATTATCATATGGAGGGCTTCGCCCGCAACGCACCTTGCTTGAATGTGAGCTCATCACTTTCAGCGCCCTCGTAATCATACAGCGCTTTGACCGGCACACCCGGCTCACCGTTGTCCACCAGCACGTTGTCGCCCTCGTCCCACTCCTCCTCCTCGTCGAACGGATTTGCATCGACTTTGCCGTTGCCGTTGCTGTGTATACAAATTGAAATCAATTAGTTCAATGAAAATGAGCGCATTCAACGCGACGTGTCTCTGGCCCAGGCGAGCACTCGAGTGTAATTCAAAACAATACAAACTGTTTCAACTTACGTTACGCTCGGATTGCGATTCGATGCCGCCGCTGCCGTTGCCGCTGCTGCCGTAGCTGACGCTGTCGCGGTCCCGGCAGCCGCCGCTGATGTTTTGGCTTCTGATGTGGTGGCTGAGGATTGCGTGGCCACAATATCGCTCTTCACGCTCGCTCTGCTGCTGGTGCTGCCCAGCGTGCTGGTGTTCTTCTTCAGGCTGTTTGTTGTGGAGTATTCCTGCCGAAGAATCAGTTTAGTATGCTTTTAATTAATAGGTACGTTCGTATTGGGAGGGGACAGCTTACGTGCACATCCTCGGCCACAGGTCGCTGATTGATGAGCGTGATGGGTGCTGCCGGCAGTGCCTCTTTTGATTTGTTGCCCTTGGCAATGTCACGGAACTCCTCCGTGTATTCCTGTAAACAAACCGGAAGTTCCATTAGGCGCTTGACCTATGGCACAATATGGTAACGTCTACTCACCACAAATGACGGCCAGTTCATGGCCATGTTTATACCATGATTATTCGACCACCACTTCAAGTCTTTTTGATGGTCCGCATTGTTGATCGTGTGGTAAAACTCCTCGTAGATTTGGGGCAGGCTGCGGGATAACGCAAATGGGAAATTAACCAAAGTATTTAGGCTTAATGGGGTATAAGCTACGCACCTTTGCACTTTGGTAAGATCGATACACGCGTGCACGTTAAATAGGATTTCTTTGAAGAACTGCAACCGTTGCTTCTCAAATGTTTGGCACTTATCGAACACGGATGTCATGTCCTCGATGTACACCGAATTGTACTTGGTGATTTCCGCAATAGACTGCTCATATTTCTCGCGGCACTTTTGCACTTGATCTTTGGTCTTTTGCACTCGATCGTGCATTTTCTTCACCTAATTAAAAGAGAGAAGGATATTAATAAATACTAATAAATTAAACATTCCTATTTCTTAGCATAGAATTCTTCTCAGATTCTCACCTGATCGGGCGACAATGAGCTGTCGGCATTGGCATTACGCTCCTGGTTGGTGGCACTGCGCTCTGTCTTGCAGGCCGAATGGTAGTCTGCCTTGGCCTTCTCGACCTTGGACAGTAACTTGGCCCAGGGTTTCTGGGCCTTCTTGAATAGATCCTCCAGGTCCTTGCGCTCCTTGATCTGCATGAGCGTGTGATGGTAGTTCTCCTTCTGCCACGTCTTGATCTGGTTGTTGATGTCGTTACAGAGGTTATCCTTGATCTTCATGTGAACATCGGAGATGCGCTCCGATTCCGTCAGCACGCCCTTCCAGGCTGCCTCCGTGGTACCGTACTCCGGTCCTGGAAGAAGAAATCAAAAATGTGTTTAAATATCGGTTATGCCATTCGATTCTCAATTAACAGGAGATTACAAGCGTGTCGCCAAGTCGAGGTAGCTGGTGCGCTGACGTCATCTCGGAGCCCTCAGGCACACGGCGCACACGGGTTTATCTAATCAGCCGCAGTCGCAGCAGCAGCAGTCGCAGTTACGGCTACAAATATGGCTAGCTATAGCCACAAATATGCTTGGGGAGCGTGCTCGCTGTGGGGATGGGCGCTTGTATGGGTGCTGCGATCGGAGAACAGCGCACATTTTTGGCATTTTTTATTGGGCGCTAACAAAGAGCTAGCAGCGCGCACCGTAATCAAATTTATATGATGCTCGTCTTATAATTGGCAATGCACGGAACTCGTTTGCCTAACGACTCACTAGCCCCAATACCCCGCCAGAGTACACACAAACGTACAGACATATACAAAGATATAGAAATTGAGACGCTTAGCACAGAAATAACTCGTTCTATTTTCCCGTCGCATTGATTTTCGAAACCATTTCAAGCGACGCTTTGGTGCCGGTTTGGTGATCCGCTGGCCAGCGCGTCTGCCTCTGCTTCTGCTTCTGCTTTTGCTTCCCAGTCTCAGTCTTCGCATCAGTATCTGTATCTGTATCTGTATCTGTGTATTGGTATCTGTATCTTTGACTAGACGCAGCTAGGCAAATTCCGCTGGCCAGAAGATAGAAGTGGCCATGGGCAGAGGACGGGGGCGAAAGAAGTGGCAGCTAGCCGCTTTTGCAATTGCCCATTGCTGATTACTGTGAAAGTGGACACTCAGAATTCCGTGCAGAGGCGGTCACAGCAAATGGCAGCAATAGAGGCAACAGAGCAGCAGCAGCAGCGGCAGCAATGAGGCAAAGCGGTTTCCAACTTTGCAAGCGCTGTACTCGATTTCATTTCACGAAGAAGCGCGCACACTGTGCCGGACATCCGCCAAAAATGGCCGGAGACCCAATTCCGTGGCTATGGAATGGGAATGGACTTCATTCGTTAGACAATTATGCCATTAGGCGCCAGGTTATTCAATCATAACCAACACAGAAGGTAGGTTATAAAAATAAAAGGGAAGTAGATGATAAGGCAAGTCATGAATGGGTGTGACTATATTATGTTATTTAAAGCATATTATATACAAGAATACAACCATTATTAAAACAAAGATGTATTTATGGGATATTGCAAAAACCTCTATCTATCTCTACGAATAAGGGTCTTTTGAAGCTCAGAGATCTGAAGAATAGATTTAGCCATAAAAACGTAGCTATTTTTGCAATAATAAATGCTTCCTATTCTCTTAAGTTTCCTTTTTATGAATATAAACAAATATCTATGTTCATCTAAACATTCGGCGTTGCCGGCTCATTAACATGTTTAAATAAATTGGGGCTGGTTGATTTTGGAACCACAGTGCGAAGCTTTGGCTCACTACAACCGACAAAAACGAGGTAACAAAACAACGAAAAAAAATGCCATTAATAGCTTAAGCCACTTATCGCACAACGGCAACAACAATGCCCAGAATGATGTACAGAATGTATGGCGAATAAGAACAGCCAGTGGGCCAACATGAAGAAGAAGCGGTGGGAAGACAACGTGACGCTGCCGGTGGAGCCGACGCTTCTACTGCCAGCGGGTCACTACTTGCTGCTCCACTCGGCCATGATACGCCCACTGCCGCCTCCAGCTTTGGCGGGGCGTGAACGAGTGTGTAAACAAATGGCAGCCGGGTAACTTGAGGAGTTATCCCATGCCTCCTCCCACCACCTGGACCTGGACCTCACACCATTTTCACTTACCTTTCTCAATGAGTTCACCCCATTTCTTTGACCAGGCGCGCAAGCTTTTCGCATATCCCTTCTCGATGTCGGCTCGCTCCTGTATCAGTTGCTGTAGGTCATTGCAGAGTCTGCGTGCAAAATGAGAGACAGAAATCAAAATAATGCAAACCGGTTTGGGTTTGCTTTCCGAGTGACTCTACCCGCTGCCTTTTGCTGGCAATGACCCAGGGGACCAAGTGCTTATGCACAGAGAAAAACAACCAAGTGGCTCATTAATGCCAGCTAGCTATCATATCAAAATACCTCTCATCTGTGTCATACCATTTAGCATATCAGCATTGTTAACTTAACCCTAATAAAGCTATAAACTTTATATTATGATGACGAAAGCACAATTTCTGCCTCACAAAAACAAAACGAATGTTATGATAATTATACATTACTTGATAAAGGTATTTAGGTGATTTATAATGGATCTTACTTCTATATGACTTAACAAATTTAAACATATAATAATAATAATTAAGACGAGTTTATCATCAGTACTAATTAAGCTGGCTGGTCAAACTTCAAAAGATTTTAAAATAGTTTATCGCAGAATTCGCAGATTATCTGACAAGCCAATAAATATTACATTAAATTATAACGATTGAATTCAAACTCGAAGTTTTTAAAATAAACATGATAGCTACAACTTAATACATTTTTCTCTGTGCAGTGAATTGAATTGATGTATTTATTTATGTTTCTATCCCTGAGGCTACTTGATAATTAGGACGAGACTCACTTGTTTCCATCTTCGATCCGTTTGGTGGTGCGTTTGTAGTTGCCAGGCTCCCAGAAGGAATCGCTTCCAGCCTGCAGGAGCTGATCATCGCTGTGGTGGGACATTTCCTGTGGGTTCCAATATCGATATTAATAAATCACACACTCTCGAGGGCATAAGCCGCATACACTGGTCATAAAATATTAGTTTCGACCGCGGTTACGTAAATAGATACTGCCGCCATAAACGATTTCCCTATACAGCAGCAGCAGCAACAACAACAACAAATACGCTCTTTGTTTATACGCAAACTTGTAGTTTTGTAGTGTTTATCTTGAGCCAACAAATCGTTTGTTAAACAATATAGTATACCGCTTGGCAAATTGATTGTTTGCCTAATTTTCTGCGATTAGGAAATTCCTGAGCCTTGATGCAACAGGTAGAACTTCAATGGAACTTTTACATTCTCGGTTCTTAATCAGATGCCGTATTTCTTGCCTTGGGCTTTGTTCTGCCTGCCCTCATTGATAATGGCTCGGAATTATCGATTCTGACTCACTGATGTCGCGACATTCCGCATGCGATCGCGGTATATTAATATTATATTTAGAAGACCAGTTTCGAGGGAAAATTCTCTATCTTATCAGGGGAGGAGTTTCCCTGCATGCCCGTCAGCTGTTTGTAAACAATGCAGGCGCTGGCGGCAGCACAAACACTTTAGCCTCTCTGGCCCGTATAACGGTTACGTTATCAGGCAGACATTGACCGGTTATATATGTACATAAAATTATACATAGGTGGCTGGAATTTAATCACTGCGACACACACAGGCACACACACACACGCACGCCGGGATTGATGACGGGTCTTGAATCCCCCTTAAGTTGTCTTGATTTGGGCGTCAGCATTTTGTTGTCATCGATATGTGATGCGCTTACGGCGTTTGGCTGGCATCAGGTTTTTTCTCATCGGTATAAATTTAGCTGCTGCAGTCATAACTACTTTGGTTTCGCGGCTCTTTGCGAATTGGCAGTAGAAATTGGCAACAGAAAGTTTACAAACAGGTTGACGCATACTTCGCATATTTGTGAAGATAGATAAGCAACTTTACGGCACAAGCATCTCTATGTATGCTACACACACTCGCACACACACGCATACTCCTGGGCTAACACGTCGCACACTTGGGAGATAAGCGGCAGCCACCTGCCCCTCCCCCGCACCCCTTGCGCGTTCCAAGATCGAAACTCGTTTATCTTTAACTTGAAGTTCTCGTTCCCGTTTCCCGTAAATATTTGCATCGCTATCCAGGCACCTTACATAAGGATGGGGGGCTTGCGATTAAATTGTCTCTCGGTTTGAACTAATTTTTACTTAGTAGACGAAGCGTACGAATTGGATTTCTGTTGTTGCCAGACGCACACCGACACACGCACTCACACTCAAACAGCGCTCGCTCGCAGCACACACACACAAACACAGCAGCTAAATTCCGCTACACCCAAACGCGTAGCGCGTTTACACGAAATGTTCTAAGTCCGTTCCGAATTGTTGTTGCTGCTGCAGCACAATTGTTTCATGCGTATTTAGTCCTTCGCACAGTGTACTTTGTCAGGTACAAGTTTTCGGAAAAGCACGGCCACCTACCAAATAACAAAATAGCGTAAAAAAGCACTCGAGTGTGTCTGGCCAACTAAAAAAACTATGTGTGACCACAGCTGGCCCGTCTCAAATACCTGACTTTGGCAGAAGCGGAATTTTAATGCACTGGTCACACTCGAGCAAGAACGTAACCGAACAACTTGGGGAATCCGTAACTGTAGTCACGTAAGGCGTAAAATGATCAACTTAATTTTTAATCGGCTTTTTAAGAATCTGCAAAAATATTTATATATAGTAGCTTAAACCCTTCACAATATATATTTTAATAATTAAATGTTTACTCATTTAATTCCCAGCCAAAGGTTATTTCGACAAAATTGAAAAAAGGGTGTACTAGTAAAGGGGACTGATCAAATTTTAGCTTCCTATTTATTTAGGTAAACATTAAATTAAATGTATATTTATTATATCAAAATGTTCCCTTTATTACCATAATTAAACTGTAGCTTAAAATACAACATGATACTAAACTCATGGATATATTAACTTCAATAATTAAAAAATTTTTGTAGTATACACATTGAAAATCTTGTTATCATTTAAAAATAAAGACAGCGTTACCAAAAGTTATTTAACATAATTTTTGTGTTACTTATAATTTACTTACAATACTGCGCCCAAGGGACGACAACATGTCAAAGAATTTGACCACAGGTTCCATCTTTGGGAAGCCCAATTAAAGAGATGAGTGAAAAAACGGTTGGATTTTGAAAAATGTTAATGTATACTGACGGAAATCTCACAGGACTTCCTCACGCGCAACATAAGATAGCATGAATTCTACCTTTCGGGCCAGCTGGGAGAGTTTCGTACGGTCCAGCTCCACACTGCCGCTAGCCAAGGCAAATATTTTCTGGAACTCTGCCTCCTGAGGATTCTTACGCTTGCTCATTGCCTTGGTCTGCTGCAGCAGGTGAAGAATGTCACTTAGGGCAGCCAGCTTATTTTCCCTCATGCCCATAAGCTGGCGAGCATCCTGCTGCAGCTGCTCTCTGCTCTCGACTAAAAAGTTGGAGCCAGCTCCAGCACTTCCCACGGCCGCTGCTCCGGCCGGACCATTTCCCGTAGTTATGGCTTCCATCTCCACGGAGATGATGGCATCTTCAGCATCCTCGAAGTTGGTGCCATACTTTAGAGTGGCGCTTAGATTCACCAGGTGAGCTACAGCTTCGCTGGCATTGGTTCTCTGCTCGCCGCCAAAGAATCGAGCCACGCAGGCGTAGGCACTGAGGATATTCCACAAATTGTAATGCAGACAGGGCGACGGTACCTTTTTGCAGATGTCCGAGAACTTCGCTATGCTCCCACATATCTCTGGCATGGAGCTTTCTTTTTTTGCAGCTTCTTCCGGCGAAGGAATAACCACAATCTTTGAGTTCTTGGCCTTGTTCCACCACGGCTTGTAATCAGGCATGAGCTTCATGATGTCGCCGCTGGTGATTAGTTTCTGGAATTCCTCTTGCTCCTCCGTTGTTAGCCGACTCCAAACTTCATCGGCATCATTGATATCGATGCCTTTCAGTCGAGCTGCAATGTCTTTCTCCATTTCATCCTCAAGAGTTTCTTCACCTTCTTCACCCGCAAACCCCTCCTCTTCGCCATCATCCTCAGCATCTTCATGTTGGGGATCTTCGCCTTCATCTGAATCCAAGGTGGTCTCCAACCCATCTGTGTCAAAATCTTGGGGATTGAAGCCGCCATCAGTTTCCCGCATTCGCTTCAAAATATCGTAGATCTTTCTCATATCTTCCTGCTTGTCCGGCGTTGTCGCGGCCCCGGCCAGTTCGTCCTGTATGCAAGACTTGTAGAATTCCTCTGAGCATTTTAGGTGCTCCTTTGACTTGTAGCATCCAACGCTGCAGTACAAGGCATTGCACTTGGGGCAGGTGTACTTGAAAGGCGCTTCCCGGCAACTGCGGAATACTCAACAATATTATATGTATTTTATTTAGCTTTTATAAAACCTACAAATGACACTTTTCTTCGGCCTCAGACATGGTAAATCAAAACAAAATAATGCGGTTGCGAACAGCTGATTGCCACAGTATGACCGTAATCCGAATGTGGGAAAATAACCAATTCTATGGCTGCTCGGGTAACATTAAAAACCGTTTTATAGCTTGATTATTTAATTTTGTTGATTTTAACATTATAAATCTTCTTTAGTTTTGTATATCCGTCAAATTAGCGTCGATGAGTTAGCATCGAAATGGAACGGTGGAAAAATGGAACATGGAGGGGTCTTTAATTTTTAAATTTATTTCGTAATTAAGGCACTTATTCAAATAATATAAAGTTTCTAAATGCTAAAAAATGAAGTAACTATTGTGTTTACTGGGTTTAAAAGTATTTCACATTTAAATACATTAAGAAAAGCATGTGAAAAATCGTTTTTTCACAGATTTTTTAATATCTCGGCTAATCAAACGCGTGCAGCAATACCCTTTCCGCCAAAATAAAGGACATTTATTGTAGTTTTACCCTACCAAGTTTAAATTTCTTCAAACCGTCAGTTTTTGAGCAAATCACATAACAGTGATCTAACCTCGGGGTCGGCTCCATACAAAATAGGGCACCCAAAATTGTAAGGCTTATAACTTCGATTTACGAACACGTGCACATATACGCGGTATATAGGCTTACTAGGGGAAGATTAACGAATATTTAGTGAAAATTTCAATTGTTTTTAACCGTCAGATTTCGAGAAAATCGAATAACAGTGGGTGGTGTATTTGGGCTGATAGCTAAGGCGCGAACTATGAAAATGGAACCAGATGGAAACCAGCAGAGAACCACTCGCTGACCCAGACCATGGAACCATGTTAAAAAATAAGATTATTTTAGTATATACCACGGCGGAATTTTATGGCCCGCCAGAAAATATTCCTATTGACCACTTAAACAATTGTATAAAATATGCATGTCCCATGAATGGAATTGACATTCTAAGCATTTTGGTAGATGTTTCATCAAAATCAGTTCAGCCGTTCAAGAGAAAACATCACTTTTTCATTTATTTACATAAATGTATCTATGAAGAATAAATATGTCTGGCAGCACTGTCTGCCTAAAATTAAATCATTTTGTTTTAAACTTTATTAAAAAAACGTATGCGCGTACCATTAACGGGATCGCAATTCTGAACATTTTGATCCACGTTTCGTCAAAATCCGTTCAGTCGTGCATAAGAAATCTCTACTTTTTCATTTATTTCCATTTATGTGCCAGCGATGAATAAATATTTCCGGCAGCCCTGCCTGCCTAAAAACAAGAAAACTTGATTAAGACTTTATGGTTAAACCTATGCAAAAGGAAGATTGTCCCATAGACGGCAACGCAGTTCTGGACATTTTGATCTGTGTTTCATCAAAATCCGTTCAGTCGTTAATGAGAAATTCACAGTGCACAGTCATGCCTCCTTAGTATGGAAATTAATAATTCAAATGTTAATTTCTCCAAAACTACTGAACGGATTTCGATAAAACACCCACCAAATTGCTTAGAATAACGATATCATTTATTGGGCAGACTATTAAATCTTATTTTGAAAATTTGCTTCTCAAATCTAGTCCTGCAATGCCCTTGCTTTGTAATATGATTTCAAGTCAAAAATTTGCAACGCAGTAAATAAATTATTTCCGGCCATATAAAGTATATATATTCTTGATCAGCATCAACAGTAGAGTCTATCTAGCCATGTCCATCTGTCTGTCTTCAACTATTAGCAATCTAGACCCTCATATTTAAAGCTATCTAAATAAAACTTTGCAGTTAGTCTTCTATATACTCTCACTAGTGTATAATGGATTAAAATGTTCAGCAATACAGTGCCGTTTATTCCATTTGAATACATACGTCCTACCATTAAGTTTAAATCACAATCTTTTATTTAATATTCTTCGTCGAACATACAGACATACATATGTATGTACATACATTCATTTACGGCAATAAATGAAAAAGTCGGGATTTCTCATTATCGACTGAACGGATTTTGATGAAACATATATCAAAATGTTCAGAACTGCGATGCCGTCTAAGGGACAGTCTTCCTTTTGCATAGGTTTAACCATAAAGTTTTAATCAAGTTTTCTTGTTTTTAGGCAGGCAGGGCTGCCGGATATATTTATATTTCACCGAAACATAAATGGAAATAAATGAAAAAGTAGAGATTTCTTATGAACGACTGAACGGATTTTGACGAAACGTGGATCAAAATATTCAGAATTGCAATACCGGTAATGTTACGATCTTAATTTTGCATAAGTTTTCAAATAAAGTTTAAATCAAATTGACTTAATTTTATGCAGACTGTGCTGCCAGATATATTTATTCTACAAAGGAATATTAATGGAAATAAATGCAAAAGTGGGGTTTTTTCATGAACGACTGAACGGATTTTGATAAAACAACTACCAAAACGCTTGGAATGTCAATTCCATTCATGGGGCATGCATATTTTATACAATTGTTTAAATGGTCAACAGGAATATTTTCTGGCGGGCTATTCTTCGATAGGGTGTGGGAGGCGCCCCTATCGATATGAAACCAGTGTTTGTGAATGAGATCGGAAAAAGGAAACGCTAATTTCTAAAAATCTTTGGGTTGGATTTAATAGAGATTTAATTTGAAATTATTGGGCAGTTACTTTTCTTAATGTTTTATTCAACAATTTGTCATGTTTATTTAATTTAGTATTTATTCTTAACATGGTTCCATGGTCTGGTTCAGCGAGTGGTTCTCTGCTGGTTCCCATCTGGTTCCATTTTCATAGTTCGCGCCTTAGCTATCAGCCCAAATACACCACCCACTGTTATTCGATTTTCTCGAAATCTGACGGTTAAAAACAATTGAAATTTTCACTAAATATTCGTTAATCTTCCCCTAGTAAGCCTATATACCGCGTATATGTGCACGTGTTCGTAAATCGAAGTTATAAGCCTTACAATTTTGGATGCCCTATTTTGTATGGAGCCGACGCCGAGGTTAGATCGCTGTTATGCGATTTGCTCAAAAACTGCTAATTTGACGGAAATAGTTTATTAATAGTTATTAAATAATCTATTAAATTTGCCTGTAGTTTGATTTAAATTTGAACACATAATGAATAGCGCCATCGTGGATGGCACCATCTGCCTTTAATATTCTGCAAAATAATGTATCTGCCTTTAATAATGTATCTGGCACTGTGTATTTTACAGATACAGTTATTAAAATAAAGATATATATTAAATATTACAAGGTAGCTCTTGCAGCTCCGAACCATATAGTTTATGTAAATCTGATGCCTCTCTGTATAGGAGGTTGTTTGCCAATCTGCTGATCCTTATGTTGACGTTGTATCCGTTAGATTGAGCTTTCGGATAAACTTTTAATTAATTTAGACGTTTTAGCGACCGGTAAATGTGACCCTACCACGGCCCGCCCACGCTTCGCGCTTAGTGTTGCCTTCCCGCTGGCGGGTGGAAATCCGGCGCTCAGTAGGACCGTGTGCCGGCGCCAGTCCGCAATCGCTTCTTTCTGGGCAAAAAAAAAAAAACGCTCGAGCAGCCAACAGAAAATAATCACAACGTGTTCGAGAGCGAGTGACAAACGCCGTGATCCGCGATCCGAGTTCCCGAGTTCCGTGTCCGATCCGCTTCCGATTCTGATCCGGGGAGATGTCTGCCACCAACGGCAACCACTACGAGCAGCTGCACCAAGGCCGCACCAAGATGTACAAGTCGAAGGTGGACGTTGTCCTGGGCGCCCAGTGGGGCGACGAGGGCAAGGGCAAAGTGGTGGATATGCTGGCCTCAGAGGTGGACATTGTTTGCAGGTGTCAGGTGAGTTATTGCTGTATGCTGTAATCGGGTTAGCTGAAAGGGGGTTCGGCCAATGCGCTGATAACAAACCAGACGTTATCCTTGCCCAAGGACAGGCCGCACAATCGGCTCCTAGTGCCCAGCATCTGGGTATTTCACAAGAGAAGCGACTTTTTTCCCAACTATTATCGCTCTTTTCGGCCGCCGCATGCTTTCCCATTTGTATTTATCAATTCTGCGCCCGCCATGTGGCTGCGTCAGTGTGTGTGTGTGTGTGTCCGTCCGTCAGCGTGTTTGTCCAAGTGTTCGTGCGAGCGGCGCATGAGTGCGCCAGTCCGCCCGTCTCGCTCCCACTTCCATTCCCGTTCTCAGCCTCGCCTTGCATGTATTGGTGTGTATTCCGCAGTGCAGGCGTTCCGGTCATTTTCTGGCCGAATCTGGCTTGTTCCGGTGGTCAGGAACTAGGTAGCATGTCCAGCAAAACTCTATAGTTTTTGTCCTTCTGAAGAGTTTTGCTGAAAGTGTTTTGAAAATGTCCACTTAAACTACCACAGAGCATATTTAGAGATATGTATTTCGTATAGACAGGGTCTCAAAGAGGGTTTCTATTACCTATTCATCAAATATTCGTTTATTTTATTTTTCACCAAACTACCTTTTAGATTTTCATTCATAAATATTAAATAATTTGCCATTGTCATTATTTAAATAACAAACATTTTTATGTGAGAATTTTAAAAACATGTTAAATTAAAAAAATTTTTATGTGAGAATTTAAAAAACTTGTTAAATATAAAAACTATAAATCTAAATCAAAAAGGTTTAGGTAGGTTATTTCTTTATTTTTTAAAAGGTTCCATAGCTACTTCTTTTCATTGTTGCCAGAACCAGCACTATTATTCCGTCAGCAAGTCTGCCAACAAATGCTAGCGCAGCGAAATTCGTCACTCGTTCTGGCCGTCTCTTTCCCGCCCCGAGTCGCCGTCTCTCTCGCGGCTGACGTTGATTCCTTGCCCCGTCTCTGTTCCACGCATCTGTTGTGCTTGCTCAGCGAACCGCCAGGTTTACATAACCGCCAACATCATTCACATCATTGGGAGGGAATATGCAACCCGTGCAGAATCTTTGGCTTCCCGGCGGGTGGCATCCGCGCCATTCTGGGCTTGCTGAAATCCAGGGGATTCGGCAATTGCGTGTCGCCAACGGATTGTTTATGGTGACCAACCACTTGTTGATTTCCGTCCTAGGTCGAATCCATAACCACTTTTCCGGGTCAATGCACGATATGGCATGGATGGAGTAGGAGACTACTCTATCCATCATATCAGAGTAGTTCAGCAGAAACGAGGAGCTGTTATCAGGGCGGTCCTTATATAACAGCTTCGCTGGAAACCCTGGCGCGGTTATCGCACCCCGGGCCTGAGTCACACGACTGACACGCCCCTCTGGCAACGATTGCGATTACGGCCGTATTCCGCTTACTGCGCCGCAAAAGACCACGGATGGGAACGGGAACGGAAAGTGGGACCTCGACAGCGATCGCGATCTCGCCATTTCCCCGTATCTTATCGGAAACCCGAACTATAAGCTCTTCCCTTGGCACGGCGTAAACATTTTGATTATCTTGTTTTTGGCTTTTAGCAATGATTTGTGAAGGTTCCAGAATTTTGACTCTTCTTTTTCGCTAATCATTTTGCTTTAGATGCTTTACAGTATATATTAAATATTAATAAAGAAGACAAATTTTGAGTTAGATTAGTAGAACGTAGAAAACTTGTACAGTTGCCAAAATGAAAAGGAAAACACATTAAATATCTCGAGTGCTTACGTATCCGTCAGATACACGTAGTGTTATCTGTGCCTGTGTGTGTGGAAGGCTTTCGTTTATTGTCATTCGATATTTGTGGGCACGTGGGGCACACACAAAGTCGCCATATCGTACCGTCGGCCGTGTTATTCAATTTACACACTACTACAATCTATAATATTTATTTATTTTTCACACACAACTTTTGTTTTCTTCTCCGCCAAGAGCAAAACAAACAATGCTAATTCTGTGTATCCACACATATAGTTCATATATCTGGGAATCGTATCGTATGGCTTATACTATATTGTTTTATTTGTTTTCTTCCCACAGGGCGGCAATAACGCTGGACACACTGTGGTGGCCAATGGCACGGAGTTCGACTTCCATCTCCTGCCCAGCGGCGTTGTGAACGAGAAGTGCGTCTCCGTGATTGGTAAGTTGAGAAGATATCGGATCGAGGAGCTACATACATACATATATAGCCAGGATCGGCCAGGATACGGGTGTGAGAGAGTCAAGTTTTAGCAAGAAATCAAGAGAAAAGTTGTCAATGAAAGTAAGCAAGTAATTGTTTTCCCCAACGCTCATTCACTTTTGTTTTTCTTTATTTCAAATTTAAATATAAGCAGAATACAAAATTTTTCGCATATAGTATAGGTCGTAAATATACGGTGTGTTGTCGGTTTGTTTTGCTTTTAGTTTTCACTCGCTCTGCGGCAAACTGAAATTGAACGTATCGAGCAAATATATGTATATTGGCAGCATTATATACCCACACCCCCGATATATGTATGTATGAATAGAGTATATAGAATAGAGGCAAATGTATGAGAGGAATTTCTGGCAAGATTTAGTGCATCATTGACATTGGCTTGCGGGTCAGTTGGTCTGTTTTTCGACTTTGATGCGCCTCATGCCCATGAAAATGAAAGGTTTTTCTATTTCTGTAGATAAGCAATTGAGATAATTAAATCAGGGTCCGGGGGGACGGGCGGACGGGGGAGTGGTGCCAACCAGTACCCCAGTGACGTCACCAGCTGTCATCGTCCAAGGTCGTCATTGTTGTCAATATTATCGCAACTTTGTCCTGCTCTCCTATTCGGTTTGAAAGTTTAATCGATGTTGCAAGTGGGTGGGGGTGTGGGCGACATTGTTTGCCAACAGCAACAACCGTATCCGCACTGTCATCGTTTGTCACAAGACTAATTTGTGAGATAATCAGAACCGCACCAATACACAGGCAACCCCTTTTGCCGTTTAGATATCGTTTATGACACAGGCAACACACTCGTTTGGGGCTCTCGTATGTTGTGGAAAATTATTCTAATCAGGCAATTAACTTATTATTTTTAATTTCCCTACCCGTTTCGAGCTCAATTCAAACGACCCTGTTATTCCGTTGAGCCGGCTCGCGTGCCTTGGCATTATGATTTGGAAATTACTTCCATAGAGTCATCGTTTCGTCTACTTATTATGCATCAATTGCCGAAATGGGTCCCTGTTATAGATAGGCTTTGAAACTCCTTGATGTTCCCAGAAGGGACGTAACACTCAGTATCGCTAGCACTTCGGGGCTTCTGGAAAAGCCCCCGCTCTTAAATAATAAAGCGTAGCGATTAGCCAGGAAGTACAAATTGCCCTATAGGCAATCTATATATGTATATACTTTGCAAAGGAGATACAAATTACGTGTCAGAGGTGCAGTCTTTAGTCTGCATGTCTGCTAGTTAAGAAATAAGTTTAACTGAAAGTGACTTAGCTCCCAAATATGAGCGTGAAGCAATATAATTTCCAAGTCACATTACTGTTGATGCAATTACATAACTACCAACTGCAATGCAGATTTTCTGATTTATTACTCATTTAAATCGAGGCCCTGGGAAATATGGGGAAATCCCCCTAGATTGAGAACAAATGGTATAAGTTTTCGCTTTTCGCTTTTACAGGCAACGGCGTCGTCATCCACCTGCCCTCGCTGTTCGACGAGGTGCTGAAGAACGAGGCCAAAGGGCTGCAGCATCTAGAGAACCGGCTGATCATCTCGGACCGTGCCCACCTGGTGTTTGACTTCCACCAGCATGTCGATGGCATGCAGGAGGCGGAAAAAGGTGGCAAGTCGCTGGGCACCACCAAGAAGGGTATTGGCCCGGCCTACTCCAGCAAGGCTACTCGCAACGGCATCCGTGTCGGCGAGCTGCTTGGCGACTTTAACCTGTTCAGCGACAAGTAAGCACTGCCTATTGGAATCGTAGAGTTCAGAGGGTTAATCTATTCCGCCTACCCACTTTAGGTTCAAGTCGATTGTGGCCACGCACGTGCGCCTGTTCCCATCGATTAACGTGGACGTGGAGGCGGAGCTGGCCCGCTACAAGGACTACGCTGAGAAGGTTCGTCCCTATGTCAAGGACACCATCTGCTTCTTGCACACCGCCCTGCGAAATGGCAAGACGATCCTTGTTGAGGGCGCCAACGCGGCGATGTTGGACATTGACTTTGGCACGTACCCGTATGTGACGAGCAGCAACTGCAGCATTGGCGGCGTCCTTACCGGCTTAGGTCTGCCCCCGCAAACGATTGGCGAGGTGATTGGCGTGGTCAAGGCCTACACGACGCGAGTGGGTGACGGTCCTTTCCCCACCGAACAGCTGAATGTGAGCACAAGTTTAGCACTAACTCAGGACGATTTAATAATGCCTATATTAATTTTTAGGAAATCGGTGAATTGCTGCAGACACGAGGCTTTGAGGTCGGCGTTACCACGAAGCGTAAGCGCCGCTGCGGCTGGCTTGACATCCCGCTGCTGAAGTACACCTCGTTGGTCAACGGCTATACGTGCATCTGCATCACCAAGCTGGATATTCTGGACACGTTGCCGGAGATCAAGGTGGCCGTAAGCTACAAGAAGCCCAATGGCGAGAAGCTCGACCACTTCCCAGGCACCATCGCCGAGCTAGGCGGCATTGAGGTGGAGTACGCCGTGCTGCCAGGCTGGCAAACGTCCACCGAGGAAGTACGCAACTTCAAGGAGCTGCCCGAGAACGCACAGAACTACGTCCGGTTCCTGGAGAGCGAGTTGAGCGTGCCTGTGCGCTGGGTGGGTGTGGGCAAGGGTCGTGAGTCCATCATCAACGTTCATTAGCTAAACCGCCAGTGTGCCGACGTACTTATGCCTACGACTGTGTGTGTATATGAGACGGAAACGCTTTAAAGCCCATTAGACCATTAGGAGACTCTGATCTGCTAGACGGCGCTTAACTATCCAACCACAACTAAAGACCTAACCCCAACTAATATTTCGACTACCTACAACATTTGGACACAAATTATTAGCTTATTGCTTCTTTAAGTTTTAATTCTTAATTTTGATGTTCACAAATTCATTTTTGAGCGTTGCCTCCTGGGCACGCACGCATATATATATATACTATACTTCTTGTTTGATGAGGACGTACTTAGTTTTTAAGATCATCAGGTGCAGTTTCAAATTTTGTATGCGAAGGGAAGCAGATATTTTTTATTGTACAATAACTAAATGATGTTGTTTTAATATTTAAATACAACAGTGTGCTCTGACATGTGTAATTGTGTCGCAAGGTAAATACATTTTAAAGTCTTAACAATAATTGCGTTTTCTTTCCAATTTAAATTTGATAACAGAGGGGAAGAGGTTATCGAGCCGATGGAAGTGTTTTACTTCCTGTTATCGGTCAGTTCTATCGAAATTACCTGCAACCAGAAAGTAAACACCTTTCTACATTTCACACAGCTGGTCACACTAATCAGCTACCTGTTTGAGTTTTTCGTTTAATTTATTTATTTGCTCTTGTTTACTTTATTTATTGTTTGTTTTTCGTTAAAGTGCAATAAAAAGTGATTCGAAATGGTGAGCTACGATTAGAACATGGCTAAACTAATAATAAATTAATAAATCTAGGGTTTCTTTCATTACTAATGCACTTTCCACTTGGCTGCCCTCATTAACCATTTCTTTTTATGCAACTTTCTATTGGTCATTCTTATAGGCACGCTACTTTAAAGAACAGGACATTGATGGTAAGTTTGGCAGCCAGTCATTGATGAGTTCATTCTAAAAGTATTTCTTATCTGTCCTTTAGAGTTCCGCGAGTGCTTTTATCTGTTCGCCCGTTCGGGCCAAATAAACAACTTGGACGAACTAACGGTGAGTGTAATCACCTACCCCTCTCCTCCACTGAGAGAAACCCGTACTAATAGTTTCGTCATTCAGGTTATTATGCGTTCTCTGGGGCTGTCGCCGACCATCCAAGAACTGGTTTCGTACCTGAAGCAGAAGAACGGCAAAATGAGCTTCGCCGACTTCCTGGACATCATGCACCAGCACTCTAAGGTGGAGAGCCTCCCGGATGAGGTGATTGCCGCCTTCAAGGCAGCCGATCCCCAGAACAAGGGCACTATATCCGCCCGGCAGCTGCGCAATCTCCTCCAGAACTGGGGCGAGGGCCTGTCCATGCGCGAGGTGGACAATATTTTCCGAGAGGCTAACGTTAACAACAACAGCACCGTGCGCTATGCGGACTTTGTAAAGATAGCTTGCGCCCCAGTCCCAGATTACTACTAGATCCGGGTTACATCTTATTTTAAAACATTCCAGCAAATTTCGCACCCAAATGATTTCGCACAACAAACAATTGCTGTAAAGCAAAATAAACGTGTTTAGGAAAAGTAGTTGGGTTTTATTTCGCACGCCAATCTTTTCACGGTGTAAAAAAGGAGCATCTGCCGATCTTAGTTGGCAATGGTGACCTCAACCTCTACGCCGGGCTCGATGTTGATCGAGGTGATCTTCTTGACGATCTCGGAGGGAGAGTGCAAGTCGATGATGCGCTTGTGGATCCTCATCTGGAAAGTAAGGATAATGTAGAATTAGTTACCACTCACAGATGGGCAGCATATTATTTAGAGTCAATGGGATTGTCGAATTCGGAGAGCCAAATTGTGAGGAATACCAACAAAGTGGACTATGAGAACACGTTTTTTCTGGGCGGACCATATAGATACTGTGGAATGACAGGGGTATTGCCCAACCACGATATCAGATCTGTCCATAGATGGGATAATAAAGTAAAGAGTAGAAGACTCGTACCTGGAAGCGATCCCAGGTCTTGGAACCCTCACCGCAAGGAGTCTTACGGGTGGTGATGCGCAGGGTCTTGGTCGGCATGCGCACGGGGCCCTGAAATGGTTAAAAAAGACGCGATTAGTGGCAAATCTTACAGTATTGCGAGGTCTTGTCGCCTGGACCATGTGTTATTCTCGCCCTGGAGCAATCAGTGCGAAAATAATGTCCGATTCAGGCATTCTCTCTAGCATTTATTAATGACTAGGCTAAGCGTCTGGCGGGCACGCAAAGCCTTCAGGTAAATGCGGTTGCTTCGTCGCAGGATGGCGGGACTTCTTACCTTGACGCGCAGGTTCTGGTTCTTGGCACCGTTGATCAAGTCGCGGCACACATTCTCCAGCGAGCGCACGTTCCTGGAGGTCAGGGTGATGCGGATGCGGTGCACAGAGGCAGAATCGCCGCCATGGGGCTTCTCAATATCCTTGGGTGCAGCAGCCTGTGGACGTGTAAGAAACATGCCCAGAATTAGGTTATGTTCACCGAGTCCCACGTGCACCGTTTTTCCACGTAAAAGTGCAGTTTTCGGCAAATGCCACTTATCCGGGTGGGTGCAATGATAGATTTCTTACCATATTTAGCAATTTCTCTGGTCGAGATATTCAAATCTTTGTATTTTGAGCAGCGCTGAACCAGTTGGTTTGCGTTTTGAAAAAGAAGAGGGGGAGCAGCGGGCAGTGTTGCTAATCGTCATGTTTAGGTTGCAAATAATCAGTTTAGCTTATTTCAGGCTAGATCTAGCATATTTAATAATAAAAAAGATTTGGTGTATTCCATACACGAATGATTACAGAGTGAATTTTAAACTAAATACATATGTTTAGCCATATTAGGGAAAAATCCCAAATGGCTTAAATGAAATCCCAGTTAAATCCTAACTAAATACTATTACTTGTCATGTTTGTTCCTTTAATTAAGCAATCAAAAACCATGCTTTGCGCGTCATTTAGTCGATATATTCACCGACGACTATCTTAAAATATAATAATAAATATATCGAAGCCTTTTTTCCGATGGTTTAGAGTTATATGGGGCAAGAACCAATAGCAAATTTTCTGTTTATATGCTGTAAGCGCAAACAAAAAAAAAAAAATTTGTTTTTATTGAAATAATTTAGTAGTCCGATTTTAATAAAATTATACCCAAAGTTCAAAAATATTAGAAATTTTTTACGTATTAAGTTTGATAAAAAAGTGTTTAAACTGGCATATAGTAGTAATTTCATTAATTTTTCTTTGTTGTTGGTTTGGAGCGATAGTATCGTAACAGTAGCGACAGTAGCCCGAAAAATATCGAAACTACCTCGTATTAAAGTTATTTCGGGGCGAATTGTCAAAATTACCTGTGAAACAGCTGTCGCCCGCTGTGAATGGTCAAAGGTAAAGAAGCTGCGATTTGTGTACGTGTGTGTTTTGAGTTAGCGACGTGGTGATTACAGGCGCCACTGAACCCGATCCGATCCCCGCTAGAATCCAGCACTTCCATGCAGATGCGCGTCCCGGACCAGCGAGCAGTCCTGCTGCTGCCCCTCCTCCTGGCTCTGGTGGCCCTTGCCGCCGGCCAGCGCGTCGCTCCCGGTGTCAATCCGCAGCACTATGTAAGTATGATGGAATTTCGATCCAGCTGTGAGCTGTGTTCTTGGCGCTAAGTAATCCATTGCCTTAACCCTATTAGCAACAAGTGCCGCAGCAGGTGCCACAGCACCATCCACCGCCGCCGCCGCAGCACCAGCAGCACCAGTATCAGCAACAGGTCCACTCGGCGCCCGGAGTGCCGCCCCAGCAGTATGTGAGTGGAATGCAATGCTCATCCCTGCTTCACAGATAGCATTTAATTTGTCATCCTCTACAGCAATATGAACAGGTGCCCGTGCAGCAACAGCAGCAGCAGGCGCCTGTCCAGTACCAGCAAGTTCCTGTGCAGCAGCAACAGCAGCAGCCAATCCACCAACAGCAGCAGCAAGTGCACCACCAGCAGCCGCAGCAGGTGCACCACCAGCAGCCCGCGGGTGGTCACCACCATGGCCAACCGCAGCAGGTCTTGAACACGGGCAACATCCAACAGGAACGCGCGTAAGTGCCCGCCTATCTTATCACCAAGCACGAGCCGTCAATCATTATCGATCAAGGGGGATTTAGTTCTAATTTGGAGAACGTCATAAATTAGCCAAACTGACACCTAGTCTAGATAGACGGCTAGTCTTCTTTTCCAACTATCGCAATGTGTAGTTAGAATTAATTTAGTTAAAAAACTCGGATATGGTTTAAACTATGATTTCTTTGATACTCTTAAAGCATGTATATTGAAAATATTCTTCAACGAAACGCAAAATAGGGTATATTAGACACTGAAAAACCTTACTCAGCCCGTGCTTATTACATTTTCAACCATTTACAGTCACATCCAAGAGCACATGCAGGTGCCCATCGATACGAGCAAGATGTCCGAGGCTGAGTTGCAGTTCCACTACTTCAAGATGCACGACTCGGACAACAACAACAAGCTGGATGGTTGTGAACTGATCAAATCGCTGATCCATTGGCACGGTAAGATCACCTTTAACTCTTTGTCCGGCTTGCGTGTAGAAAGATTTGCGTCTATGGTTTTTGTTTCGTTTTGTTTGACCCACTATTCTGTTCTACCTCTTTTGCATATGCGTAACTAAACGGGGCTATTTCCGGTTGTGGTTGTGGTCATGCTCGAATCTCATGCTAATCCATCTCGCATCCGCCATAACAACTCATTGCCGTGCAGAGCAAGGCAGCAAGGAGCAACCGAATGGCGAGAAGCCGCATGTAGAGGAGAAGGTTTTCTCCGACGAGGAGCTAGTGGCCCTCATCGATCCCATCCTGCAGATGGACGACACCTCGCGCGACGGTTACATCGACTATCCGGAGTTCATCAAGGCGCAGCAAAAGGCCGCCGAAAAGCAGCAGCAGCAGCAGCAACAGCCGCAGCAGCAGCAGCAGCCACAGCAGCCTATTCATTAGTAGTCTTCGTCACCTACATATGTAGATCCGTTCAGTTTTGGCATTCATAACCATGTCCTCGTCTCGTGATTGTGACGTGTTCCACATACTCCCGACTTCTGCCGCAAATGATGTCATGAAATTACGTCGATTCACATTATTAGAATTACATTCGGATCAATTTTACTTACCATGCTGCAAGCATTCCAATCGGAGAACCTCAATGAACAAATTGTAACTTATTGTCCTTCTTCCACGAATTTTCTCAAAGATTCCTATTTCGAATACTGAACGCGAATCTCACGAGTGGATTGTGCAATTTCAACTGCTTTCTCTCGTTTTTGTTTTCCATTTTCATTACTTTAGTTATTTGGCGATATGAACTAATTTCTAAGCCCGACTTGAGAGCAGCAACAACAACAGACTGATTGTGTAAAAGTTTGTTTTGTACAAAAAAAAGAAATATAAAAGAAAAATGCGCGATAAAATAAATCGAAGAAAGGCCTACCAAGTGGAAATCTTTTTGAAACTGAAACCTATTATATATAAAACCGATTTAGCGAATAAAATCAAATCCAAATCACAGCCAAGAACGTCTAGTCCCAAGTACCAAGTAGAAATGTAGACTTAGACATTAATAAGCGGTTTCGGGTGAGCTTGTCCTAACCATCGTCTTAAGGGAACCCACACTGCCAAGTCTGTAACTTTTCATTACCATTCCAGTCAAAGATAGTAGCGAGAAACCAGCCGAGGGCCACGCAGATGGACAGGCCGAGCCCGAGGAGCACAAATCCGGTTCCGTTTACACCGACAAAGCACTGGAGGACACCATTGACTATGTGCTAAAGTCCATGGATCTGAACAATGACGGATTTGTGGACTGGGCCGAGTACCGCAAGACTGAGGCCAACATTGGCAAGGACTAGAACAACTTTCGACCTAGGAGAGCCATAAAACCTGACAATTTGTTAATCTTTTTAACTTTTGCTTATGGAAACGTACCAACTATGGGTTTGATTTCTATGTACCTACAGCCTTAGAACTTGATATGCATCCTAAGCGTTTCAAAATTGTATAAATTTTTGTACTTTTGCTAAATAAAATTTATTGAAATTAATGTGAGCAGTTTTTAATTTATAGTTTTTCCAAAGTTATAATTTAATAATAATTATAAAAATATACATTATTATTTATGACGACTCGATGTCCTATTTAATGTAATCTCGGGTTAAAAGTTATCAGTATGTATTTAATTATAAACAAAAAAGGAAGCTAATAAGGAAATGTATTAACTTGAATCCTCCTATAACATCTATATACTTGGTATATTGTCATGGTAAAGACTTACCGCAGTAGAGGACACACAGCTATCCGCTTTCGACATTGCTCAATTCCTTCCAGTGTAGAGGTTTGTTCATGGTATCATCCTGGTTATCCATTGTCAGGAGATTGTATCCGGTCGAAGAGCAATCACTATCATTACCACTATCACAATAGATGTGCACACTGGGAGGGCCATGGACAGACTGAGGCCAGCACGGCTGCAGTGGCTGTATTTATAGTCTCCGAGTGAAGAGAGCAGAGAAAGTGAGAGTGCGAGAGAAACAGATATCTCCAGAGAGAAGCAGAGAGGGATAGAGGGAAAGCGCTATCGCTTGGGATACACAGAGGGAGGGAGAGAGAGAGGGTATAGAGACAGTGAGAGAGAGAGAGAGAGCTATTCAGTCATTTATTTATTTATTTATATAATTATAAATTATTATTTATTTATTTAAACTAAATATTAAATATTATATTATTACAAAAACGGAAGCTATGATTAATAATTAAAACAATCTACATTTATATTAAATAATATAATTAATAATATATAAATAAATATTACTAAAAGTTATAAATATTTTCCGATTGTTCTTATGGTCGCTATATGATATAGTGGTCTGACCCAGCCCATTCCGATTTATATATTAGTGAGAGATATAGAATACTTATTGCAAAGATTAATTAAGTTAAGACTTAATATATTTTCTTAATTTTTGAATCTACCCTTGAAGGCTTCATCTAGATTCTAGACCAAGTTCTCCAGGTATCCCCTGTGCGTTACGAACCCCAACGAAACGTAAAGCTCCAAAAAAGCATAAAAGCTTGTCGCTGGCGCAGGGAAATTTCCCCATTCAGTGAACGGCGAGGCATTGCAGCCGACGGTACGAAAATTGTTTCGGCTTCAATAAATGAAAACCGAAAAGAAAATAAACAAATCGCTGCAGCATTAAATAAGTTTCGTCCGATTAAACAGTGGCACATTCGAGTATATTACGCATACGCCGCGTGTGCCAGACTTCGAGTTTGCTGTGTAACTCGGTAATCTCTGCAAAATGTAAGCAAATTGTGGCAAAAATAAATATATATACACACATTTAGAGTGTTATAGAATGCATGGGAATAATTATGGATCGGCTGGTAGCCGGTCCCGGGGCCAAATCACGTTGCTCGGGCGACGGCAACCCAGGCAGCCGGCGGTGTTGATTGAAAATAAACAATCCGGCTGGGCGGGGAGCTCGAGCTCCACCAAGTATGTGTCCGGTCCACGTGGTCGCGTGCAACCGGGAATTACACTTTGCACAAATATTTGCCGCTGCACAAACAACAAACGGACCAAGCGTACATATTATGTGCCATAATATCGATTTTACCCAGCGTTGGGGGCGGTTCGCCGTCCTGGGCGGAAAAGGGGTGGTTGTCCGGGGACTTCCGAGTGCGATTCCGAGAGGTCGATAAGCCGGCTGGACATGCCATTACTTGGTTGCTCAGTTGGAATTCCTTCCATACCCGAAAGCCCTCATTATAGAAGGCCTAATTATGCACACGCGAAAGTGCTATGACAATTCAAATGGTGTTTGCATATCAAAAGAACTTAATCTTAATCATTATGTTACGTACATTACAAGGGGGTTAAATAACTACATGGTTATAAGGACCTGCAGGGTATAGTCCGTCTTTAAGACTGTAAAGTCTATAAATTCTTGATAACAAATAAACAAAGAAGTGGAATAGTTCCTAGTTTTGTCAACTTTACTTGACTTTATATAATCTAATACTAACATAAAGCCCATCTATATACACTTGTGAATTTTATAGGGCTGCCATGCAGTCTGGCGGAAGACCCCGCGAGCGTCTGCTCTATGCCTTTCGGGGATGGATTGCCTTTGTGGCTTTCATGGATTTGGGGACGGCATTTCGTAGCTATATAGAAAGGCGCAGCTTCCTAGGCGATCATAGTGACACTCAGTTTATAGAAGGTAAGTTCTTTTAAAAAATGTAGAATCTGTGAGTTATATTAAAATATATAATGGATATGCAGGTGACTACACAATATCACGCATAATTGGCATGTACTGTCTGCTCAAGGCCATTGCTCTGGTCCACTGTACCCTCTACATCCATTATAGACCGTAAGTATTTCCCACGAGCCTTATTTATTTAGCATAATAATAAAATTAATGTTGTTGCTCTTCTGTGACATAGGGTGGTAAGCATGGGCGGGTGCTCTCTGGCCCTCACCATGGTCTTCTATGCCACCGAGGCGCTATACTTTCGCTCCAGCACCATAAACTTCTACGTGATCTTCCCTTGTGTGCTGAACAGTGAGTATATATCTATTTATATATTTAAGGATATATATATTTTCATTATCATTTTCTCTTTAATCCAGCTATAACTCTTCTGGGCCTAATCTATATACCCAAACGACTGCGGCTCTGGGAGCCAAACATGGATCTCGATGATGAAAATTCGCAGCTTCTGAAGCAGATGACGGGCTTTAAAAGGCGTCGAGCGAAAAAACAATAATGTAATGTTTAAGCGGGACTTAGAGAAGAGTTTCCAGGAACACAGTATTGTGTAGGAATCGCAAATTTTCCGCTTTGGACTGCATTGGTGTGATAGAAATGGCATCAAGTTCATCATTATACCTTATAGCAATACTGAAAACAACGCCAAATTAGTGATTTTCTATGAACTAGTTACGAAAATAAGTCAATTTCTGGCATAATCACTTCAAGACATACATATACTTCCTTTTTATGAACCATATATACAAGCATATATATACATTTAGAAATGTATAGCACAATAGTGAGTTTTTGCACTTTTAAGAGTTGAAAATCGATATTAGGAATCATTTGAACATTATCAGAGTTAGCACCCAAGTTAAACAATTAAAATCGAAAGGCTTTAAATTTAAATATAAGTTTATAATCATCATTAGTGTTACGTTGGATTTTTCCATTGCATATATACGATTAACAATTTATGGAACATTCTTCCGGATCCTACAGTTAAGCACACATACACATACTCACCACATATGATTACCCGTTAATTTGATATAGGAAAATAATAGTTTTATACGCAATATGTAGAGTACGTTTGAATAAAATTTTAAAATTCCCGCCAAGGAGCGACTTTAAAATAACGACCAAGCAAAAATACCGGAAACGCGAAAAATACCAACGAAAACAAAGGGTAAAGGTTTTTGGGCGCCCGAACTTCGGTCACACTTCTGCGCGCCAGAAGAATTTGTTTTGTTTTTATTTTGTTTCTTGTGAAATTAATTAATTGTTTGCCATGTATCGCAAGTATAAGAAGCGGCCGCAGAAGGCCCTCAACACAATCGACGAGAACACCACCATCAAAGTGCCCGTAAGTGGTCTTTGCAGAATTTCCTCTTTGAAACGGGAATCAAGTGTCTTTCTCAGCGTCAGGAGGATACCACTGCGGATGTTTCGGCAGAGTCCACGGGTAGCGGGAGCGAGGAGAACATACCTGCCTCGCAGGAGCACACCCAGCGCTTCCTCTCGCAGCACAGCGTTATCCTGGCCGCCACCTTAGGGCGCACGCAGTCCTCCGGCCGGAACATCCTGAGTCTCTCCCGGCAACCAAACAACTTCTTCGAACTGGTTTTGATACGAGCCGGTGTCCAGTTGGACCAGGGCGACAGCCTGGTTCTGGCCTGCGACCATGTGTCCATTGTGTCCAAGCTGCGAGACATTTTCATGAGCGCCTCGTCCTACACGGACAAGGTGGAGACCTTTAAGACGGGCCTGAATGCAGCGATGGCGCCCAAGTCCAAGCTGGTGCAGAAGCTTCTCACCGGATGCACTGTGGACGCCTCTGGGGAGGAACAGATTTACCAGTCCCAGAACAGCATGTTCATGAACTTCCTTATGATCGACTTCCTGCGGGATCCCTGCGTGGAGGTGCTGTTAAACAAGATCGAGGAGGTGGCAACTGCAGACCGCGTACTCACTGGGAAGGCGGCCATCCCCCTGCCGTTGTTGCCGCTGATGCTGGCTCAACTGCGCTACCTGACCGCCTCGCACAAAGAGCAAATCTACAACCGCATCGAAGGCATCTTTAACAGGGCCACGGATGCGGCCAAGTTGGATATCATAGCCAGTGCTGAGTTGATACTGGATGCCAGTATGCACGATGAATTTGTTCAACTACTCATGTAAGTTTAGCTGTAATGGACGTTCTATAAAGTTTTTGGATGTTTTTAGTTAAAAAAATTTCTTAACAACATTAATAATACTTATTATCTTGTCAGCATTAATTACTCGAGAACTGAAGACCTGTTCCACATGACTACGGTGCACACTCTAAGCAATCTATCGCTCTCCGAAAGCACCCAGGAGAGGCTACGTCTGCGTATTTTAGAGTATGCCACAAGTGGTGAATGCCCAGATACAGTAAGAAGATATAGATAAAATATTCAAAATATACACAATATAAATATACATATTTTTATGAATTCACTTTTCTCTAGACCTTGGCGCACCTCATAAGGCTCATGCTCAACATTTTGAAAATGGACACGGACGACAGTGTGCGCGATGTAAGACTGACTAATATTGTTCTTAACCAAACTGCTAAGAATATATTTTCCTTTTGTCAGTTGATCATCAAACTGCGAGAAATCTTTAACTGGCGTCACATGGTTCATAGGGACAACACTTCGGCACCAGTTGAAGACAAAAAGTCGCAGCTGGAGCTCTTTGGCTTCTTGGAGCTCGGCCTGATACGTTCCAAGAGATTTTATCAGACATGGCAGAGAACCGCTGCTAGTTTGCCCGCAGAGGGATTCACGTAAGCTGTAACTATACATTAATTTACAAATACTGACTTATTGACTCCTTCAGTTCCTTTGAGTTAATTGTTTTACTGCTGCTAATACATGTGAACGAAGATAATTCCTTGTACATTGAAAATATAGTAAGTTATTATTAATTATAACAAATAGATGAAACTAATTTAATGAATTGTTTATTAGCTTCGTCGTCGTATCAAGCTGGAGCACATTACGGTTAACATTTTGGAGGAAGTAAAACTGCATTATAAGCACATACTGGAGCAGCATATAAGCACACTTATGCACATCCTGCACGACTTTATGCGCGAGAAAAACCGAATTGTGTCCGACTTTGCAAAGTCCTCATATAGGTAAATATTCTACATACCATCCATATTTATTCCTTTTCTTACGACTTGTCTTTTTCCAGTATACTTTTCAAGATATTCAACTCGATACAGAAAAATATCTTAAAGAAGCTGCTAGAGCTCACCTGCGACAAATCATCGCCTCACTTGACAACCATGGCGCTGGAGTTGCTACGCGACCTGCAGTGTAAGAGCGCCAAAGATGTGCAAAACTGTGCCACACTCCTCATTCCCATGCTGGACCGGATTAGTGACTTGACTCTGACGCAAACTCGCGTTGCCATGGACCTACTCTGTCATGTGGCGTTCCCAGATCCTAAGCTAACTGGCTGCCTGCAGCTACAGGAGCAGGTCGATATGGTGGTGAAGAAGCAACTGATCAACTCAACAGACAATATCAAGAAACAGGGTATTATTGGCTGTGTGCAGCTGATCGATGCTCTGGCGCGCATCCAGATCGATGATGTGGAGTTTGACGATTCTTTTACGAGCGTGGAAAATGTGGATTCCCTGCCAGATGGACGCGGCAAACTGGCTGCCAACTTGATAAGTAATTAAAAGGCTCTTTCATGCAGTATTCAATAGGCTTACACATATATTTTTCCACTGCACAGCTCGCACCGAAGCATCTATAGGGAACAGCGCCGAGTCCTTGGCCCTCTTCTATGAAGAACTGGCGACGGTTCTCAGTCAGCGCCATGACGGCACCACCGTCTGTGGTCCAGATTATCAATTTATTGCCTGGGCCTGTGAGCTAATAACATTTCGCTTTCAGAACAGCTTTGTCACCGAAGACCTGGCCGAGACAGTAAAGTAAGTATACGCCTCTTCCGCTGAAACTAACTCTATTCAAGTTTACTTTTAAAGGGGCATTAAGCTGGAATATCAATTAAACATTAATGAATTGGACGACACAAATGTTCACACCGACACGGAGGTCCTCAGCATTGGCGTAAACATATCCAAACTGGTATTGTTGCCCAAAGCCAAAGCCTGCGATTCGATATATGTTTTAGCGCCGCTCTTTAACTGTGTCAGGGCCCTGAACAACCATCGCCATCACTACAGTCTGGAACAGATAAATGCCTTGCTTGGATGCGCTATCGTGTTGCCTGCCTTCTTTGAGGACGACAACTATCTGGCCATTTTTGACAACTACCGGGACGACCAGCAGAATGACATTCTGAGCATATATTTCCACACAGTCAACTGGATGCGGGTGACGATCAGTGCGTTCGCAGCGCAACGGGATCCCGCCACTCGACGTCGGGTTCTTATGAGACTTGGCGAACTAATACGTATTGAGCAGAGGATTAAGCCGCTCTTGGCTCGAGCACCGCCTGACTTCGTGGCACCGCCTTACCAGTTCCTAACCAATGTCAAAGTCCAGAAACGTCCAGGACCACCAAAGGCGTCTGCTAAAGCCAACGCCCCAGTGGTTGAACCAGACGCTAATCAAACCACGATGACAGATTTTTCGATCAAGGTAGCACCCTGCAGGGCCATTAAACCGAAGATCGACTTTGAGCAGATGTATGGGCCGCGGGAGAAGTATAGGCCCATGGAAGTGGGCATCATTATGCTGTTGGTTGAGCAGAAGTTCGTCCTAAGTTATCCACTGGAGAAGGAACAGGTTGGCGAGTTCTTGGGATTGCTAGAACTGCGTTTTCTATTAGAGGATATGGTACTCAAACTAGAAGCTGCAGTCAATGGGCAGCAGGACTCTTCCGATACGGACAGCCTGAGGCTGCATTTGGCGAAGCCAGAGGACTTTATATGTGATTTACTTCCCTGTCTGCTTGAGGTGAACAATCACCTCAGAACCTTGGCAGAAGCCATCGACACACAATTGGTGAAAGTCAATCATGTTTACAGCAATCTGGATCTGTTTAAGGAGGAATTCAACTACATACGAACCTGTTTTGGGCTCTGCATTCGCCTTTTTGCCCTTTACTTTGCCTGGAGCGAGTGGATGGATAAGTCTCAAGCTGAGTTGCTGCACAGTAAGTGATAAGGCATGCTTCTAAAATATTTAACATCATTTGTAAATAATCATATTTCCAGAGTCACTATATCAACTACATCCCAAGGAACAGTGGGCGGTACTTAAGAAGAAAAGCATTCCACGCCTGGCCACTGTCACATTCGAATACTTTCTAAAGTATGAGAAATCGGTTTTGAATCTAAGTACAGCGGTTCAACTGCATAGATTGCTGTGCTGCCTACTAAAGTTGGGAAGTGCCCGATTTAATACTAGCCAACCTAGCTTTCAGCATGCCCAGGATTCGCGTAAGTTTAAAAATTGTAGTATAAATATTAACTACAAAGTCAAATTAAATTTAGCAGGCGCACTTTGCAACAAGCTGCTGCGACGTAAATGGTTTCACCATTCTGGAACAGTGGATAAGGGTGCGCAGTGTAATACCTATCTGGACGAGCTAGTCAAGGGCTTCTTCAAAAACTCCACACCTGAAGATCAGAGCAAGCTTTTGGCACAGTTGGTTGAGGAATGTGCGATTCTTAATACCAAGGACAAGGCTTTGAATTCCTTCCCAAACTTCAAGAAGTAAGCTATGTCCTTACATGTAGTACTCTGTATAATGCCTTTGCCTTCTTAGAGCCAACTTCCCACTGCTGTTTCGTGGACTGTGCGAGGTGCTCATTCACTCGCTAAGTGCCCATCTTAGCGTGGACAAAAAAGGAGATCACCTGCAACTCTGGGAGTCCACGGTGGACTTATTAAACGGCCTGCTTAGAATTGTTCAGCTTGTTGAACAACCAAGAAATTTTGGACTATTTCTAAAGCACTCGCAAATATTTCTCAAGCTGCTGCTTCAGCAGGGAATGTCAGCCCTGGAATCTATTGTTCGGCAGGATCCCGAACGCCTTACAAAGTTCCTGCACGAATTGCAGAAGGTGACCAGGTTCCTGCACCAGCTCTGCTGCCATTCAAAGTTTATTAAAAATACAGCCATCATCAGCTACATTCCCACCTTACGAGAGACGATCGAGACGCTGGTGTTTCGGGTGAAAGCCCTCCTAGCTGCCAACAATTGTCACTCGGCCTTCCACATGGGTAATATGATAAACAGAGATTTGCACGGTGATTCCATCATCACGCCAGTCAGTTCATTCGCTGGCGAGGAGAACAGCGATGAAGAAATACCCGAAGACGATACCAGTGTCGATGAGACAGTGCTGGGAGACAACATCACCGCCATTAGTATCAGTACAAGACCAAGCGATGGCAGCCGGCGAAGCAGTAAGTCTACATCACGCAGTAAATGCTTTTAAAACTATGCATTTTTTGAATTTAATGGTACAAATAAATCATTTCTCTTACTATACACACATTTGTATGGTGAGTGTCCTGTCCGAGTTTTCGAAACTAAAACGAGCCTCTAATTTTGGTAATATGGGATGTAGGTCCTTACAGAGACGGAGGTCAAGTCCGATGACAGGACTAGTTGCTGTATATTGTATATATCGAAGCATGATGTATGCTCGATTTGGATCTACATATATCATTTCTTAAAGCAAACATTGAGATGATATAGCAAATGCTTACTTGGTCTGTGAATACTTAATCTTTAATCTAGAATTGAGCAGAAGATGATTTTGCATTCTTTATTTATTTCATTTTTTATTATCTGGATGCAATTTTATTTAATTTTCGTATTACAAATAATAACAAATGTATGTATATCAAATATTTTAGTACAATATGCTTCTTCACTTTTCTCACTTTTATTTTCTTCGTTAACAATAATTGTTTATTAAGACGTAAAAGTTGTTCTCCCATTCTCTCACATTCGGCCTTCTTCTACGATGAATTCTGATTGTTTTTTTTTTTTTATTATTATAAATTTCCATTTGTTTGTTGTTTTTATTTCGTAATAATTGGCGACGTTACGTTCACGGTTCATGAATCCCTTTCCATACACGTGTGGTATGTATGTATGCAAATGTTTTGTGATGTTTATCAATAGGTAGAGTTTATAAAAAAGATTTAAAAAGGTCAATCGATAATAAAAATGATTATATATGTATGTAATAAAAGAGCGAAAGAAACACACACAAACTATAAATTTAATTAAATTAAAAACAAATATGTTTTCTAAGCGAATCTAAGCCTAACGCGTGTGTGTATGCGTGAAACAAATATTGTCCTCATACAAATTATGTTCGTTTGAATTAAAAGAAACAATCGTGGATGCATTCCAATGGGATTTTGATCCTTTCATCCACTGTCACTGCCACTGTCCTCTCTTTCTTTATAAACAGTTGCGCTGCGCTTGGTTTTAGCCGATACTTGTCTTGAAATATACACGAAAAGATTTTGAGAGCTGAAAAGGTTTGGAGAGATAATTTTGAATAGGTCGAAATATATGATGTATATTTCAATTTACAATGCGATCGTGTTTTTTTTTTTTGATTTATTAATTTTTATTGTTTTCTTTATTTGCCAATTTTTCAAAAACTTAAAACATTTTACACAAATTAATTTTAAAAATTTTTAATACGTACGCAGTCTGTTTAAAAGTAAAGTTAGATTATACACTCCTACGCCTACATATACATTATATACTCAATATATATATTTATAGAGAAAGATATATATATTTATTGTATATATAGATTTAGTAATTATGATTAAATCTTGCCTTTGCATCATCACAATTCATGTAAAGTTTTTCATTTTTTTCGCTCAGTTTCCATGCGCAGTTTGCAATTTTGTTGTCCACCTTGCTTACTTTTATTTCATGATACTTTTCGACTTTATTTCTATTTCTATATTGTTTTTTCATTGTTGTGTTGAAGTTGCTTTGCTTTTGTTGTTGAAATTGTTGGTTGTTGAAATTTACACACGTATACAGTTATTGTTGTTAGATCATAGATAAATTTTGCTTGCGCTCCTTGCTCTCTGCTCCTCTTTCACAAATACACAAAGATTGTAAACCAATTAAACAGCTAAACAAATTAGTTCTTTAAGTATTTAACATTAGTGCTTTATGTTAGGTCGTAAAAATATTTTGCTAAAAATTAATATTCATAGTTTAATATATATATAACATACTATTGAAAACTTAAGCGCACAAACAAAACTAAATATTCAAATTAAAAACTAATTTTGCCAAACGTTTTTGCTTTCCCGAAAAATTAAAACAAAAATTACAAATTACAATATTTAACACAATTAGGGATAAAGGTTGAGGGGGGTTGGGTGTTGGGTGATGGGTTTAGGTTTAGGTTTTGGGTTTCAAGGATGCAGGACAATTTCAGACTTCCAAAGAATTGATTTCGAAATATAACGGCACATAATTTTGTAATAATTTCAATTGTTCAATTTTTGAATCGACGACGAAATCGGACAACTTTAACGGATTTTGTGTAACAATTTGCCAATTAGTGTATAGATTTAGTTTAGTTTTAGTTTACAATAGAAAAAACACATTAACAATTAAAACTTACAAATTAAATTACAAATTTAAAACAATATAAAATCAGTACAGTTATCGAATTAAACAAATTGTTAAAATTAATTATATTTATATATTTGCAATTTTTGAATTGGGTTCAAAGGTTCAAATTAAGTCACCAAACGTGGAAATTTCTAAGGTGAAAAATCGAAAATTTTGCATGCAAAAAGACGCGGCGTTAAAGAATTTGTAGTAATTCACTTGCTTATCAAATTAATTAATTTGTTGTGTTTGTGTGTGTTTAAAGAAAAAAAAATTATAAAATGATTAAAGGTTTAAAAGGTATTTCTCCCTTTCGATCGCTTGAAATGCTCTCTCAATGAAAAACGTCAAATATTTAAGGAAAAATTCATAGGGAAACTTATCAAAAATTAAAAAAAAAAATGGTAAATATTTTAGTTATGTTCTCTTTCTTCTTTTGTTATTGTAGTTAGAAAATGGCGCACACTTCTCTTCCTCTACAACGACAGTTTACTTTACTTTTATAATTATGTGTATATATATGTGTGTGTGTGTGTTCTGTTTGTGTGTGTGTATTGAGTGTTACTAAATTTAAGCTTAACTATGGTCATTTAGAATTTGTTGTATATATTCTCTTATTGTTTGTGGCTAATATTATGTATTTAAAGTTCTTTGCTGGTTTGCAAATTTTGCGCAAGGTTTAATTCATGTTTTTTTTTTGTTTTTATCGTTAAATTTCATTACTTTAGGCAACTGCTTGGTGTGTGTGTATGTGTGTTGTCTGTGTATGTGTACTTTTTAAATTTAAAAAAACGTTTATTGTTTTTAGGCTTATGCTGAACAATGTTCATAGATACGTTTTAAAACACACGCGTCCTTCATCAACTACTGCCAACAGTTTGTATTTTGCTTTATACTTGAGTTCAAAATTGGAAGTATTCTTTCGTTAGTTTAAAACTAATTTATATATTTTTTGTTTTTGTTTCTTTTCGTTTTATACATTTATATATATTAATTAACTTTTTTTTTGCTTTACTTGAGATCTTGCAATAGCGGAAACTTAAACGACAGAATTTTGTTCAACCAAACACGATTTGTTATCTCGAAATTTTTGCAAAAATTATAAAAATTAATAAAGAAAGGCAAGTTTCATTGTTTTTGTTTTTTTTCTCATTGATTTCCCTATAATCGTACTTTGACACGTGTGTGTGGCGTTGTTCTTTCTCTTTATAGGCATGGAGTTAGTTTATTTTTCAATTTGCAAGTCGGCATCTGATATATTATCTGTATTATCTGTGTTATATTATTATCTTAGCGTACGGCTGCTGGATCTCCTTCCGTATTTCCGTATTTCTGTGCGTAGCAGTTGTAGATGATGAGTAAAGGAAAGTGGGAAGAGACTAGTCTGAACTTGATATTAGATAACTGGATTTTAAATAGAATTTCATAGTTTGAGTTAATTAGGTTTTGCTGCTATTAACGCACTTGAGCGCTGGCTAATTGATTTCATAGTTTGTTGTCTAGTTCTCCACGGTTAAGTACGACCCGATTGCTGCATCGTACGTGTGTTAATATTAAGTATGCGTTATGGTATTAAATTTATAATATTCAATTGTATTATTAGTTTACTGTTTTGTGATGTGTGGTCTCTCCGCTCGTCAGTGTCCTCCTCATCCTGACTCTCTAATTCGTTGCTTCATTTCACGGACCTTTTTCCAGTCCGAATTTCGTGTTGACTTGCGATTTTTGAGCTTATTTGCTCGAGTGTAGGTGTAGGTCTTGTGTGTTTTTGTGTGTGCAATTACTTAGCTCTACATATTTTTTTGTATTTTAATTTTACGTTTTTACTTCTGACAGATAATTGATTTGAAGTTGCCTAAAACTTACGCTTGTTAAAAAATAGTTCGTTTTCAAATGTATGCAGAAAGTCTTGCCAGTTGCTGCCGCCATACATTATATGATAATGCTGGGCGCCTTTTTTTAATTTTTTGTATTTTCTTATCGCTCTCACTTTAATTCATTCAATCTAATTATTAATTTTATTTTCTTTTTTTGTTATCTTTGTCAGTCAATGTTTCCTCATTAAGCTTTGCTTTTCAATTTGAATTGTGTGTTCTTGTTTCTTGGTGTTGTCAGATTGCTAAACATTAATTCATCTCTGAGCCCGATCTCGTCTGTATATGTATTGTTGCTTCAGCGATTTGCCAGCTATTCATTGGTTATATACAGTAGAAGATTTATGCCCTTTGCAAGTATTGTAAAATGGTGTTTAGTTTAAATCGAATCTGAATTAATCATTTTCTTATCTTTTTTGTTTCTTGTTTTCAATGTATAAAAGGTGCTACATGCTGCTTAAGATTTAAAATCAATCTGTACGGGCTTAGACTGCTCTCTCTATATAGTTATAGATAAATATATTTGTATGCATTTTAATATAGGTTTGCTATATGCTCAATTATTGTTTCAATTTCAAGTTAAAAACGCTATGAGACAAATTTGTTTATACTTTTCATTTTCTTTCTTTCTTTGTTTTGTGAACTTTTAAAACAATTTGACTTTGGTTTATCTACGTTGTGAGGCTTTATTTTAAAATGTTGTTGGTTTTTTTTTGGGAAAATCGGCTAGACTCTAAATGAAAAATTTGCGTTTAAAATGCTGTTTTGCTGCAAAGGCTATTTGTTTATGTGATTACATATACATATACTCTCTACTCGACCTATTGACCTGCTATCATGGATATTTCGCATAGCAAATGAACAAGTTCGAAACGAATCCCTCTAAACGATGCTTTCTGAATTGCTGCTAATCGGTATTCTTTATACTTTATATATATATATATCGTTTTTTTCACTTTTGTTGAAACTAAATGTATTGCTTGTAAGAGTGTGGTTGCTGTGACGCAAAATGGATCTTCTCCAGGATGTGGTTAGGAGAAGTTGACCTGCTGGCCTCCATGCGATGCGGTACGTAATGATGCTTTTAACTGATTTCAATTGTTTTATGTTGATGTTGATGTTGCTGTTGTTGTTGTTGTTGCACTTGCTGTTGCTGTTGTTGTTGCTGTGTGTGGTTTTAACTCCATGCCGAAAACGTATCCATGTACCACTGTTCACCATTGGTGCCTAAAGGTTGCTGTGGTAGCGGTAAACTGCCCCAACTGCCGCCATTTCCTATCAAACCGCTCGGGTAACGTCGCTTAACATCTGCCGGATTTTGGTGACCTCCATCGAACTTACGTTTACCGACTACTGCAGGTTGGTGGATGGTATCGGCCAGGTCGAAGTTCGGAGGATCGCATTCGGATGGGTTGTTGTTGGTGTGTTGTTGTTGTTGGTGTTTTGGTTGTGGTGTGCGTTGTGGTGGTGTTTGTGTGGAAGGTTGATGGTGTTTTTCGAAAGAAAAAAAAGAGAAAGAGAGTTAAAAATATTGTTAATACAATAATGGTTCAATGTTGTTGCTATTATTTTTTTCTTTTTCTTGGATTGGTATTCATTTTTTTTTTTTTTGTATTATTTTTTCAACTGGTCTATGGTTCGAATGGGGATTTTCTTGATATATTAGTCGTTTTAGTAGCACAATTTGATGGTTTTGTCCATTTTGGTATCTCGCTTTGCTAATGAAGGGGGGCGGAGCGTGCGCGTTTTAGGTACGTAAATCCAAGAATATCAAAGACAACACATTAAACATTTGATTTTTGTTTTGTTTTTTTTTGTTCATTTAATTTATCTCATCATTGGTTCGGCACATCACAAATCGGAAAGTGTAACTCGACATATTTAGGGACTGGGGACATGATTACATGTACAAATATATCTAAGTATGTTGTGTTGTGTTGTGTGTGTGTGTGTGTTTACAATATGAGGCAAGTGCACATACATTATATGTTCGTGATGACGGTGAGAGGTGTATTATGTATGGATTACAATTACCGAACATTTATCGTGTGAGTAAAACATTGTACATGATATTATCGCCTTATATAAAACATGGAACACATTACGATGATGGATGGGTGGCGAATGGTCGGGACAAGACCGCAAATCAATCGCCGGATAAGCGGATCGATCGCCTGATCGATCACTAATAGAGCGCTGTACTCTTGGAAGTGTCTTGAACTAAGGTGGTTTCTTGAAATATCTTCTTGATCGTGGGTGCTGCCGAGTGGGCGGTGTTCTCAGCAGCTCTCCCAAATTTGAAATTTTGATTTAGAAAGAAACTTTCATGGGGTGTGTGTTGGCTTGCCCGTCCATCGGGTTGAACTGATCTGATCTGATCTTGCAATGCAGAATGTGTGTTGTATGTGTTTTCTCGACTGTGTCCTCTTGAGTGCCGCCAATGACGAGGTAGTATTCGATTTGGAAATGTGTGTGTTTGTTCACTGGGAACAGGTGGTGTGACCTAGGGCCAAGTGAGTTGATGGTTGTGAGGTGGCCGGTCATTGTTTTTGTGTTTAGGGGACGGAAAGGAGCGCCAAAACGTCGGGGTTCGGGCGTTCGGTCCGGTTTATGAATTTTGAATTCGATTTCATGTTCGGTTTCTTCTTGCATTCAGGCGGAATCCCGCTTGGATTTTTTGTCTTTTTCGGTTCGCGATTGCTTGTGTTTGCGGGAATGCTTCTTGGACTTGCTTTTGGATTTTTCAAACTTGTGGGATTTATGTTTCTTGACCGGACGGCTAACCTCGTCGTTATCCGAGGAGGTGGTCGACGCGCTACGCTTAGTTGCCCTCCATGAATGTCTTGAGTGCGGATCCAGCTAGAAAAGGATTTAGTGTTTGGTTTCCATTTTTTTTTGGTTTCTGGATAAAAGGTTGTATCGCTGCTGAGTGTGTGTGTGTTTTTTGTGTGTGAAGCATTCTAGCATTAAATTAAAAAAAAAAATGTATCATCCGCGAAGGCGAAAAGTATCTACGAAATACAGCCACAAAAATGTAAAGCGTGTTCAAAATGGAAGCGGTGTGTTTTTTAGGGGAAGTGGATGGTGTGCCACACTCCGGATGGGTTTCTCGGGGCTCTCCGCTATATATATTATATGTATATATATATATTTAAATGTATAAACAAGTGTGTGGATTCCATTGACAACAAATTATAAGATAACTGCTTGGTCAGCCGGTGTGTGTGCGTGTTGTAAACATAATACACGAATCGATTAGTATTTGTTTATACGTAAAATAAATAAGAAAAATGATCTCATTTGGTATCGGTATCGGTGTCACCCTGTGTGTATTTTTGTGAGTGATTATGATATGTAAGAGAAATGTTAAAGGGCGGTTATATATATTATACATATTATATATGGGGGTCATATGGGCATACATGTGTGATTGTTTGGATTTATATATTATGTGTGTGTGTGTGTGTAGAGGCAACTAAACTATTTTTCTTTTTGGCTCCTTAAAGCATGATCGATGATGAACTCACAACTCGATATACATAGTTCACACAGAATATTATATGCATATTGTATAGTTGTTAAATTAATGGGCTAGAGTATAATTAAATATGTAAATAAGGGTTTCATATATTTATTAGGACTTGTGCAATCGCAATCGCAATCGATCTCTGATCCGGTCAATCTTGCAGCGCGTTTCTTTCTCATTTTTTATTTTATAAGTATATTATCATAAGTCGGCGCGAGATTTCAAGAGAAAAACAAACGAACGTAAAAAATTATATACACGTACGTCAAAATTTTGGATGGCACTATTATCCTCGGAGGCGTGGGACTCTTTCGATGGGGAGGTTTGGATGATAATGGATTCATAGATCGGAGCCCGCCCACGTAAACCTTTGACTCTTTTTCTTTTAAATGACGCTTAGTTAGTGAGGTGATGTGTGTGGCGGTGGTAAGGGGGGTAAGAGGGAAACAGGGACATAAATACTAATCGATTCATAAACGTTTACAGACTTTTGCTCACATATATATTGTTTAGGCACATATCCAAGGCAATATGTGTGAAGAGACACAGTTACACAATTTGTTATAATGGCTTTCCATATAAATACATAGGCGGCGATGGTGTGTGTTTAGTGTGTGTGTGTGTATTTGTTGTGGGTGTGTGGCCAGTGCCAGTTGCTGCTTACAAATGGGCGACATAAAAAACGTAAGGCAAAGGCATGCATCAAAATTCGTAGCATACATCTCAGCGCGCTGGCAGGAAACGGAAATGAAAAATTCCCCATGGTAAGCAGCAAGTGCACAACTACTTTTGAGTTGACAAAAAAAAATAGTATTTAAAAAGAGCTCTATACACGATTATTGAATAAGAACAATGAAAAGTATTTGGCGAACAAAAGAGAGAACATGAAACCAAGGAGTGGAGGGGACAAAAAACGTTACAACATTTAAAACATTTACACAAATGCGAGACACACGACATTTAAGTGACCTTCTTGGGGGTGGGGTAAGGGGTTTCTTTCGTCCTTGGGGGGGAGGGGGTAGGGGGATGGACTATTCACACACTAACAAAATCTCTCGTTGGTGTGTGTGCACGCGAGGTGTATGGTGTGTGTGTGTGTGTGTATGTGTGGTGTTTGTTTGTGTCAAGAGGGGTGTGTGAGTGTGGCATGTTTACATTTTACTTTGGCTTTAAATTATTAATTGATATGAATTCGACATTCGCCATGTTTTGTTCTCAAGTTTTGTTGCAGTTTGTTGATATTGTTTATGCAGTTTTTTTCAGTTGGCGCAGGTTGTTGGAGGGTTTCGTTTTGATTCGATTTGGTTTTTTGGTTTGAATTTCGAGGTCGATTTTGAGTTTGAGTTTGATTTGGTTTTGCTTTTGTTGATTGGTTGTAGAGTGGTTTTTTGTGGTGTATTATTTTGATAACGTTTTTTCTTGTGTTTGTTGAGCTCACCTGGTAAATTTTGTAGCGGCTTGACGTGCTGGGTGCCACGAGCGCTGGGACGCATTGGCACCACCCCACGGACCCCCCCGGTTGCTGCCGGCGCCCCCTGACCGGTGGCCCCCCGCTGAGCTACTGCCGCCGCCGCCGCCTGTCCCGCCGCCGCCGCTGCCGCCGCCTGTGGCACTGTTTGGCCCCCCAGACGACTGATGCTGCCACGCGGGCCAACGGCTCTGCCACGCGGCACTGTGATTCCAAGCCCACGACCAACTCCCTATACGATCGTATATAGGTTGCATCCCATAACATCACATCACATCACATTACATCACACCGCCAGCAATTGCGGCATAAGCACATCCGTATCCACATCCACATCCGCAAACCGGATATTGTGTTATCGTTATCGATTCAACACCATCAAAGGTAGTCGTCATCGTCATCATCATCATCATTATCGTCATTTTTGCATGCATTAGTTGCGTTTGTGAAGGTGGCGTGTGTGTGATGTGTGTACGGTTCGTGTGTGTGTGTGTGTGTGTGTGTGTGTGTGAGTTGGGGGTGAGCGTGTGTGAGTGTGTGTTGTTTGTGTGTGTTTTGCATTTCCAGATTCGGTTCCGTTATCCATCATTTGGGTTTATCCATCGGTCGTTGGTTTTGCATTTTTCGATATCGATTTTTGATCAGTTTCAGGTTTTGATTTGAGTTTTCAGATTTGGTTCGAATTGCATTAGCATTTTTATATATATATATATAATTGAATGTGTTTGTATATATATGGATCGCCAAGATAAGTGTCAAATTTTTTTTGTTTGGTCATTTGAAATTTTGAATTTCGAATTGAACGAAAAGGTAAGCAAAGTAAAAACGTTTTTGAATTGATTTTTGAATTTGGAATTTCGAATCGTTGTGAGAATTTCGAATTTGGTTTAGTTTTGAATTTTGTTTTGGTTTTTTTTCGAAAAAGAGGGGTCGGAAAAGCGGTTTCATTTTTATATAATTTTTTTTTTTGTTTTTGAATCGAAAGGTTAACGATAGTTTTTGGTCATTTGGTTGGTGGTGGATTTTGGTATTTTTGATTTTTGATTTTGATTCAGGTTGGTGGCGTAGATAGGATTTGTAATTGATTTAGTTTTGACGAACATATATATAATTTTTCAAGATTTGTTGTTTTTTTTTCGTTTTTGTCATATTGGTAGTACCGAAAAACAAATGAATTGTTTGTATATAGATAAGTATATAACAAGAACACATAAAAAGAAAGAAAAGAAAAGAAAAAAATCGAAATAAACGCGTTAGATTCTTGGTGTAAAACTGTTGTTTGAGAATTGTACATACACGAGATGTAATAATGTATGCATATAAAGTATGTATTATTCATATAGAAATTACTAAATGTATATATATATACTGTTCTCTGTATCAAGTGTGTTAACTGAGTGATCAGGTTCAACTAGTCAATTTGGGTTTCATAATATACTTATATAGTTATTTATAACAACGGATCTGGGAGCTTGAAACGTTCGGAGGTTCAAGCAAACAAAAGTTTTGCCTCTTGCGATTGACACAATATATATATGTATATATGTTTTATATGAAAACAATAACTACCATGTTTGTTGACTTGTTTTTTTTTTAAACGTAACTAAAGGGGATTACAATAAGCGTATGCGGTTAATATGTTTTTAAACATTAAAGCGTTTTGCGAAATAAATACTGGGTAAATATATATACTAAAAAATAAAGCGACGCATTGTGATTAAAAGCGCTTCACTTAATTGCTAAAATGTAATTAAAATTAAAACGTCAGCACGCCGTGTTCAGCTCATAAATAAACTATTAATGGTTTGTTCCTCCAGCCTGGCGATGGACTGTGCAATTAAAATTATAAATAAATAAGCAGGTGGCGGGTGGGGAAAAAGGGGGAGGGTGGGTATACGTACAAGCGAAGCATAAGTTAAGCATAATAAAGCACAATGTGTTAATTATTCGATTGGTTTTTTTTTTGCGAGGCGATTGCATGGCGGATGGTGTCCTTAATTTATGGCATGTCCTTGTGGTTAAAGCAAAACAGTGCGAGACAAGCAACAAATAATCCGCGTTCGTGGGTGTGTATGTGTGTGTGTGTGTGTTGGGTGTGTGGGCGTGGCATGAGCATAAGCATTTGTTTTCCTTCGTTTTTTGTTTGTGGGTGAGTGGGTGTGTGTGGTTGAATTTGGCGGCAATATACGTGCAAATTTTGACTTTATAAACGAAACAGAAAGAATATAATTTTGTGGAAATTAAAGCCAAAAATTAATATAAAGCAAATGGCATACAAAATCAACTACAGGTCGGTCGGGGGGGTTACAGATAGAGAGAGAGAGGGAAGGCAATCAATCAAACTAAAGGAGTATCTAAAATCAAAAATGTAATCAAATCAAAATTCTACAAAACTAGTGTTTCTGTGTGCGTTCTTTTGTGTTCTTGTTCTTGTTTCTGATTCTGTTTCAAATTGTTTCCCTGACATCGTTCCGTTGGGGAGTTGCAACGCACCATAACAGGACCTGCCGAGCCACTGGGACCAGTTGTCATGCCCCTGGCCGTTCGCTGGCCCCCGGATAGCGGAGCACTCTGGGCGGTGCCACCCGGCATCGGCATCATCGATCCGGACACTCCTCCTCCTCCGATGCCGCCGCCGCCGACGCCGCCATTACCAGCTCCCCCAAGTCCCGTGGGATTCGAGTACTCATAGAAGCCATAGTCCTGATCATAAGCACGGTACATATCATCATAGTACAGATCATTGGAATAGGCACCGGGGCGGTAGTCCGAGAAACCGAAATAGTCGTAATCATAGTCTACGGGGTATGTTCGGGATTAGGATTAGGTTTGATGTTATACTCTCCTCTTCTACTGAATGTTGTGGGACCTACTATGTAGACCTATATGCTCCCCTGCCAATTGTTTCACTTTGCCAATGTTCAACGAATTGGTCGCGTACCGGGGGGGAGGGAGGAGGAAATGGGGATGGGATTGGACACTTTGGTGGTCACTGGTACACACACTTAGTACACCAGTAAAGGTAGTAGTAATAGTGGGTGGGTGGCTTAAGTAGATGAGACTTGGGGGTTACTTACCGGTGATATAACATCAAACAGTATACAGGGTGCTTAACATTCGCTACACAGAGAACACAATTGCAACATTTAATAATCATAAACAGCTATGGACAACGTTAAGGTTTTTAATGTCTAATGTCTATGCTTGGATATGGCTTGGATATGTTGTTGTTTTCTGTTCGTATATCGGTTTGGAAATGGGTCTTACAGAGACATCATAGAGAGAGAGTCGAAGGTAATGGTTACTGAACAAAAAGGATAAACAGGACGACATCGATAAATTGAAAATAATCACTGACATGCAAATAAAACCCAAAGTATAAGGATAATAGTGGAAGATAAGTACGAGCATTGACACATAATCTTGCAAATGCGAGTATCAGAAAGAAGGAAGAAAGTAAGAGAAAGCATCAACATTTACGATTAAGAGAAAGTAAGAGAAATAATTGATGGTGCTTCTGTGTGGGGTTTACTTCAATTGATTGCCAATATTGGTTAGTTAAAGGGGGGTTATTAATCATCTTTATCTAGCTGGATACTCTTTCATACTTGACTTGGGGCTCGAAGGGCGGTGTGCTAGGCGTGACCTTGGGACATGGGGTGTGTGTGTGTGATGTGAGTGTGTAATACATTATGTTAGTGTTCATAGCGGGCGCTTTCTATTAACCTAAACGTGTCGTGCATATACCAGGTAACCCTCAGAATCTGATTAAACTTGGGATTACGTAGTACATGCTACGACTTTAATTAACCAAAATGAGTGGGAGGCAAAGGGGTTAAACAATAATCTAGATGAACAGAGGGGAGCTAACAAAACGTTGCGTTCGATGGCACAGGACATGATATCGGTTTAACTTAAGGCTTAGTGTTAGGCTAAAACTGCTTCTGGGGGTTAGTAGTTCAGAAACATTGGCTGCTGCTGCTGCTGCTGCTGTTGCTGGTTAGAAATCCAACTAAAACTAAACACAGAATCCTAGCCTGTGTACTGTGTGTTAGTGTGGGTGAGTGTGTAGTGTGTAGTGTGGTTTATGGATGGCGAGTGTGCCTAACAACTTGGCTAACAACTGACTACGAGAACTAAACCAAATTAACAAAAGTAGTTATAAAGTATTATTATTTTTTATCTCAATCGTGTGGAGGAGGTCGGCCCCGCCTGTGGCCCCCTTACATTTTACACTTTCAATTGGCATGGCCAACGGCCCGCTGCCGATGGCTATGCATATACATACATACATACAGACATCTAAGAATCGTATCTGACGGATTATTCACTTGGCAAATTTGCCAAACTTACCGTAGTCGCGAGGTATCGGCGTACGCAGCGGCATGCGCGCCCCTTGGAGGCGCATGGGCGTCAGGGACATCATGTTGGCATGTGTCGGCGACAGATTTCTGTATGGAGACAAGGTTTCGAATCTTTACAACATAATCCCAACACAAGAGGAATGGCATTTCATTGAATTATTATTGGTTTATGTTTTTTTTGCGGTTTCAGTTACGGATACGGTTACGGTTTACGGTTTGCGGTATTTGTGTGTGTTTTGGTTGGTTTTGGTTTGTTTTGTGGCGAAGTCAATTCGCATGGCGGGCAAAAAGAAAGAAAAAAACAAAAAAACAATCATAATAAGTTAAGAATTAATTGATTTTAGGGGTGGCGACTTGATAAGCAAACAGACAGTTTGAATTTGGTTTTAGCCGAGAACAAAGAGTGCCCAATGTGAAATGCATTAAATGCATTGTTTTAATATTTTATATATTTTTAGAATTTAGCGCCAATTGGTGGTTATTGGTGTTGCTGTGCTAGGCAAGTGTTTAGAGGTTGGATAGGAATAGGGATTGGGAATACATACCCCACGATCCCGGGACGCGCTTGCATCATTTGCATCATACGGCGCTCACGAGCCCGCAGAATCTCCTCCTTTTTCTTCTTGTCCGAGGGGGGTTTGGCGAGAGAGACCTAAAGGATATTTCAGGATTTAATATAATATTATAGAAATATTAAAGAAAAGTACACTCACCTCAATATTCGAGGCGCCGATCTCCTTGCCATTAAGGCCACGCATAGCATCGACGGCGCTATCACGATCCTCAAAGTGTATAAAGGCATAGTCTTTAATTTTCTTAACTCGTTCCACCTTTCCATATTGCTCAAATTGCTCCTGTTTAGAGATCACAGATAGTGATTTGTTATTAAATCATTATTTTAGTAGAAAGGAGACTTTTACCTTCAACTTATCCTCGGAGACGTCCTGAGTTAGATTTCGCACATAAAGAACTTTAACCTTGGACATAGTTTGTTCATCCGGCTCCTCCTGTGGATCGGCCCAGTCGACTATTATATCACATCCCCAAACCTTTAAGAAATGAATTTACTCATTAGCTAAATACATCTTTTAATAGTTATAGATAAAACTCACCTTAATTCTACCAGTGCCAAGTCTTCGTTTGGCCAAAGATGCCGCCTTGTGCGACTCGTATTCGAGAAAGCAGAAGCCACGGTTCTTTTTCTTATCATCTGGCGAACTGTATATGATTACCTCGTAAAGGCCAGCTATAGGTTCGGATTCGGGATCAGATTTATTTATAAATAAAGAAAATTGTCATTTGAGTACAATAAATTAGCACGCGGTGTTATCAGTTTCAAATGCATTATGATTAGTTGGTTGCATATGTAAAAGTTTGAAAACGAAAGAAATACAACAAAAAAGTATTTGTATCTGTACTGTTACTGGTACTGGTATTGGTATTTGGCAGGTGTGTGTGTGTGTGAGAGTGTGTTTATGTGCGATAGTATGTTCGAGAGTACAGGTACAGTACAGGTGATAAGACACACTCGACACCAGTGTGCCTATTAATATATATATAGATGGAATTATTGCAATTTAAAACGGAAAGGCGCAAAATTTTACACAACAAACTGTCGTTTTGTTATGTAAAATAATGCATATTTCCGTAATCTGAATCTCTTTATAGTACGTTCTTTTGTGAGTATATAGAGCGAATTAGATGATTTCGAAAACCAATGCCAACAATTGCTGCTTGCTTAACTTTTTGACATATTTTTGAATAGTTGAATGACGCTGCTAAAAGCTAAAAACATTTTCGATTCGTTCGAGATTTAGAGACAGGATAGAGAGAGAGCGGGGTTTATAACATTAAGTTGGATATGTAGTACGTATAGAGTATTTGTAAAATGAAACACACATTTAGAAAGACACTTAAAAACCTCTGTGGCTGTGGCTGTATTGCTATTGTTTTGTTTTTGGATATATATTATAGTACATGTTGCAATAAAAACAAGAGGTAAATAAAATGTAACCGAAAACACAGAGAGTATAGAGTAGTAGTAGAGCACACATTGAGCTTGGTTTTCTTTTGGTCGTAATGGAAACGATAACGGGAAAACTATACACAAACATAGCCAGAGTTATAGACAGAAGAGAACGTGTGTACACTGAGATACAATAGAGAGTTCGGTAGAGATAGGAGGAGATAGAGATATATGTATATAGAGAACAATAACAACGTAACAACGTAACGAAATATGGATAAGATTTTGAATTTGGCTTAGTTTTTCTCGCTTCGATTCGTTTGCATCAATTGCTCGGGGAAGTAGCGCTTATGTGAGAGATAGATACAGAGAGAGAGTTAGATTAAATGAGTCTTATTTTTTTTTTAAGGCTTGTAGTAGTCTCCAGTCATTAAGTAAGTGAATCTTTCATTCATATATTATTATATTCAACGTGAATGGGCCGAAACATATCGATTTGGATGGACGAATTGCTGTTTCATATTGATTGGTTTTATTTATATTTCTGGGGAAGGGATCGCATTTTAATCGGTTTGTGTGCGCCGTTTGTAATCTATATTTTATGTGTATATTAAAAAGGATATATATTATATATAGGTCTGCACTAAAACAAAAACACTAGGCTTTATCCCTTAATCAGTTTTTATATTGATGTTTTTTCAAAAATATTCAAAACGTTTTAGTTTAGCGAATTGTTTAGCTACGGGTTTTCAATGTCAACAAATTGGGCACATTTAATAATTCGATTTAACCAAAAAATGGAACTTAAGGAACAATTAATTTTTTGTTGTATTTACTAACAGCGCTTAAACGCTACAGAGAATGAGTGAGATATAAATAGATAAGAGATAGAGAGAGATAGATGACAGAGAGAGAGAGAAAGGGGAATAATGCAATTGACCAAAGGATACAGCTTCCATATATGAGGTGAAGCTGTATCCTTTTGGGAAATGTCTTTTAATTTTGTGGGGTATTTTTTGGAGTGTTGGAATTTTCCATTTGGGTTTTTTTTCCAGCATTTAAAAGCGAAAATTGCAAAACAAAAATCCAATTGATACTTCATTTCATAGGCTTCCATGCGCTTTTCAATTCTGCAAGTATCGCCCCTAAAAACCTTTTCGGGATAACATTTATATGATATATATTTATCGGGGATCGACCAATTCTCACAGCCAATCGGGGTTTGTGGTGCTAGGGGTTTCTTTTTTATCGGGGTCTTTTGCTTTGTTTGTGGTTTGCTGTTGCTGTTGGTTTTTTGGTTTTTGGTTTTTGGTTTTGGAATCACTTACGTGCATGTTTTGAAAATTCCTCAATTAATTCGTCGCGATCTCTATTCTTAGGTATATTGCCGACAAATAGCCGGTGATTGTTAAATGATATCGTAACACCAATCTTTTTGCCTTTCCGAATTTCAAAATCATTTAGCTGCAATTGTTTAAAAGTTCACACAAAACAAAAGAAAATTTTGATTTGCTATGAAAAATTTGTAGTTCATTGGTACTGCGATTTGATTTTGGATTGATTTGGTTTCGGGTTTTTTTTTTTGTGGTGGAGCAATATATGGGTGTTTTTCGTATGTGTGTGTGTGGTGATAGTTCTCATGTGTTTTTTTTGGGAAGAGAGAAAGTGTGTGTGTGTGTAGATTTCTATTATATCTAAACTTTATTAACAACCTTTTTTTTATATTTTCAATGCGTGCCAAATAAAGAATGAATTTACTCAAAAATAAGGTTGATTCTTTAGCTAATATCCAGTTGGCTTGTTGGTTTGGATTAATCGTTGTCACTACCGATATACGAGTACTTACTATGCGTAATAGTTATTTAGAAATTATAAAGAAAACGACTGGCTCTGTGCAGCTGGAAAATCAAATGCGATTCGATCTTACCTTGAAAGTGTTTTCATTCGCACTGACTTTTCCAGCTGACACACGGCGTATACGTGATATTTATACAATTTGTTCATTAGAGCCTGCTTTCCTACGGTGTGATTATTTATTATTAAAGAGAAAACGGAACACATAAGGATTTATAAAAAAAAAAATCAAAGTCTTGGAATGCATCATAACAATTTGGTAACAAAATTTAAAAATTTCAATACTTTTTTTTATCATTTGTTTTTCTTCTTTTTTTTCGTAGGCAAAGTTAATGACTGGAGATATTATGTAAATAAGTTGAAAAGAAATACTCTTATAGGACAATTCAAGCTTTTAACGAATGGCAATGAGACTGCGGTTTGTATGTGGCGGTGTGTGTTGATGTGTGGTGTGTGTGTGTTGTGCTTTATGAGGCAACATATATGTATAATTATATGATTAAACTGAGGAATGATTCAGTTTCTGTCGTGGAGCGAGAGATATAAGAGAGAGCGCGCATTTGAAAAGAGTGTCTCGGGGGGCACTTTTCCATATTTTCAATATTTTTCATGGAGATAGATGGCAATGGCGGATGGTTGGATGGGGTGTGAGTGGTTAGAATGAGTTTAAAAACAAAAAAATCAAATTAATTAAACTTAAATTGAACTCAATGACCTAGGACCCTATCTAAAAGCTACCTAATATTTATTCTTCACTTCTGCAATTAGCCAATTTCAGTCTCAGTTCAGCCAATTGGATTTTTGTTTTCACTTTAAAGCCGATTTTGAAGTTGCCCCTCTTTCGTTTCCCAAAATGCAACTCCATTTATTTTAATTTAAAATAAATTTGTTTTTTTTTTTTGTTAATTTGTTGTTTTGTTTTGTTGTTGTCAATTTACCTGTAAGTTTACCAAATTCCTCTAATATTTCATCTTTGCCCTTTGACTTGGGTATATTGCCTACGAAAAGGCGCAGATTCGGTACGCTTATATTTATTTTCAGACACTTGCCGGGTTTTATTTCGTGATTATCGAGCTAAATGGTGGATGGGAGAGGTAAAACGATTCTTTTTAATACCAATTCAATGTTAATAATAAATCAAATAAATAAATCAAAATCATAACTAACGAATAATTTTGAAATAAAGCCAAGGTTGGGACGATAATAAGGACGGTTGAGGGGTTAAATAATAAAATAAATTAAGGGGTTGTTAGGGCTGTAAATACATTTCATTTGATTACCAATTTGTTTTTCGAAGCGGGCCGCATATATGTATATAATTTCGAGTTGGTTTCAGTTTGGAAATGTTAAAGGAAACGATTTTGGTTAGTGGTTAAGGTTCTATGTATGCGAATGCGTCTTGGTGCGCATCCCAAGATCATGGTCTGAATTTTGGACATGCTCGACTTAAATAAAACCAGACAGTGAGATCGAACGTACTCGTCTAAGTTTGACTACAAAAGTTTAAGGGCTACATAGCTTGACTTAGATCTAAGAAAAGAATTTCAACTAAAAAGAAATAATACAAAGAGAAATAGAGAGAAAGGAGTGGGTGGGTAGGAAGCCAATCCTTTTTTGTTTCCGTTCTATTCGTAGAGAACTCTTTTCAAACTTGCAATTTGTTCGATATTTCAAGGATGCGTTTGCGTAAATTAAGATTACAACTCATAGAACACGGGACATGCATTACAAGTTACAGAAAGATCAAGTAGAGAAGAGACTGCTCAATTTTGTGGAGGCAAAGGCGGTGGGATTAGCATAGTTCAAAGTTCAATTAAAGTTGCACAACTCCTGCGGTCAGATCTAAAAGCGCCAAATGGTATATAATATTCAATGATCAATTATCTTTTTGCTGCTTCTTTGCCAGAGTTTCAATTTTGGATTTTTGGCCACACAACAACTGTTCCTACTTTTTCCGATGTGTAACAGAAAGAGTATTTTATGTGAATACAATACGTTAAATATGTATATATATATATAGAGAGAGGGTAATATGTATATATCGTAATAGTTAGCAAATACGTATAAAAACATTGAAGCGGGAAAGACTGATTGGGGGGCAGGGGGAGGCAGGGTTTTACGCTCTGGTCGGTTGGTTGGTGGTTGTGGTGGTGGTGGTCATGGAGGTATGAAGGTTCTTTGGTTGGCTTAAATACCTGGCGCACTGCATTAACGGCTGCTTCGCGATTTGTGAATGTGACAAATGCATAACCACGATTTGTGCCCGTCATTGGGTCCATCATGAGGCGTAGGTCCCAGATTTTGCCGCATTTCTCAAACAGAGGGATTAGCTCATCCTCGTACATGTCCTTGGGTATCTTGCCGCAGAATACCTCGCACCCATTGCCCGGCACATTGCCCTCCCAGTCCGGTGGCGGTCCGCCATATTTACGCTGGCCTGCGAAGGGAGAAATTAAATAGTATATATTTAGTACATATATAAAACATAATATATGTTAATTCATCTTACCTGTCGTCACATCTAATGTATAGCCGGTACGCTCGAGAATCTTCTTAATCTTGTCTTCATCGGGTCCCTTGACCTGAACAGCGGCTGCGGGCGTTGGCACGCCCTGTTGGCTCGCTCGACTCTTCTGGCGGTACGTCTTCATCACGCCACACAAATAGGCAGACTTGTTTGACACATGCTCCAGGTTCGATTCGAGGAACTGACCCAGCACATTCAAGGCACCATCGACGGGGAACTCCTTGAGCGCATCCAAGGCGCGCTCATCCAGCTCGGCATGAGCCAGCTTGCCGGTCTTGTAGATTTCATCCAATTTGCCGGCAACCTAAAGGGAAATTTAATGAATTATTAATGATAACCATAATAATAATAGAATTTCTTGAGTTAAAGACTCACTTTCTTGTCCAGACCGTATTCCAGCAACTTGGGATAGTCCTCGGTACGTTCGCCATCGCCACGGTCATCGGCTTTCTGATTAATGTCATCTAACAGTTCGCCATTACCTTCCGCCATTTCTGCAAATTAAATAAATAAATAAATGAATTTTGCAATATAAATAAATGATACAAAAATAAGAAAGATATTCCCTATTTAGCAGATATGAACTCTATTCATCTCACTTCCCATTTATTTACCTTGACGAGTTCAACGAACGCTATAAAATAGCAACAAATTGCGACTGCCTGAAAAAAATAGGTCGCGCGAATTTTGCGAAATAATAAAATAAAAGAATTCGCAACTTACGCATCGTCGCACGCACCGGACTGCGAGAGAGAGTGAGACACACACAGACAACAAAAGCCCAAAGTTCATTGACTTCAAACAAAATGCGAAACGCACAAAAATCGCGAAATAGAGAGATAGAGAGTGGGTGCCAACATACTCACGAAAAGTGCGTGAGAAGCAAAGAAAGAGAGAGCGGCCAAAAAATGTAAACAATCGAAAAGAGGCCCGTTTTGCGAATTATGCGTGCCGCGTTGCGTATACGCCATGTGGAGAGGTTCGCTTAATGACCGATAAGAGTGACGTAGCAGCAGTGTTGCCATGGTAACCACAGAGATATCTTGACAAATATATATATATATCAGGTTCTTAGTTCCTAATTTATTGGTTATTGTACGGTATTAATTGGTTAAATAGACTTCTGGTCTTGAATTTAACACTTGGTTGCTAGTTGTCGCAAATTAAATTTAGATGTTTTAACTGTAAATATTTAGTGGGAGCTTGTGGGTAATATAGGTAGAAGATTTGTAAGGCATTTTGCCTGTGAGCAATATACAATGAATTTATCTATTGTGGTGTTATGACACTGCATTCTTTAAAGGGTTTATTTTTAAATGGTTAAAATCATTTTCATATATATTATGTGTATTTAGTTTATTAAATATAATTATTTGACTTCTATAATGAAGTAAAACGCATTTTAATATTTTTTCATTTTTATTTAGTAAAAGGTCACACCGAAAGCCTTACTATTTTTGTTGTTTTACTTTATTTTTGTTATATTTTTTGTGTATAATTTATTTTTTACATAAATATATATTATTTGTTTTCTTTTGGTTAGTGTTATAACTCGCACTTTTCTAATATTATTTTTCCCACTGCATAAAATGGACCAAAACAGAGACACACAACCTGCAGCTGCATTCAGCAGCAAATTTATCATAAATGAATATTTATGGCAACGACTCATAATGAAAATGCAAATTTTCCGCAGTTGTCAAGTGGCAAACACATGTACACCCATTCAGATATGTGTGTGTGTGTGTGTGTGTGTGTGTGAACACATACAAAACCAAGTTAGATTCATAGAAATCTACCTTAGCACTATCAGCAAAGCTATTTTCAGTGAGTGTGTGCGTGTGTGTGTGTGTGTGTATGACAACCACGTTCAAACAAAAAACGAAGCAAGCTGCAAAAAAAAATAAAATAAATTGCAAAAAATAGAAGCACGAAAAGAAAAAAAAAACTTGCCGAGAGCGATAATTGCGTAACATGTGCAAAATATCAGCAAAGCTTCTTCTTCTAATATCGCTCCCAGAGCGAGCGGAAAGCAACGTTAGATTATGAGCGCGAACATTTCTAAATAATTTCTATAGCTTTGCCTTTTTGTTTGTTGCTTTTTCTTCCACCTCGCCCCACTGCCCCCCTTTTAATTTTATATCGCGAATTTCGTTTGCTGGCAAATATTTGGTTCTCTGCTCCACACACTCACACACACGCACATTGGCTGACATTGAAACACACTTTTCGATTGAACATTGAATGCTCTCCTTCTACTCACTGCGAATGGCCATCGCAATCGTTGTCGGGATTGGAAGGCGATCCTTGTGGCTTGTGGACAACGGCTCACCACCGCCTCCATCAACTGGCTTCACATTGCTCTCCATTGCCGTTTAGTAGAATTGAGAATTTTATAAATTTCCTTCAAAGACTCGGAATTTCGTTTGAAATTAATATTTTCGATTCTTTCTTTTTGAAAATGGTACTTTTTTTTGCTTTACTAATCAGCGGCCGGAGAGAGAGAGGTGTTCCGAAACGTTTCGAGAAAAAAAAATGAATGAAATGAAATTTGTTGAGACCCAGGGACCTAATGACATTTGACATCTGTCTACCTGCAAAAGCCAACTATGATGGGTAATAAAATAAGCAGGGTTACTACTATAGAGCAAATATTTATGACAACTGCAGTGCCATCGGGTAGTAACAACAAACAATACCAAATAGTCCTTTTCGCACATCCTGTAAATGATGTAAAATATATAAAAGCCAGTCTCGTTGGGCGCGAAAAACGCAGCGAACTGTAAGTGAAAAGTGTTGGCGACAAGCACAAAAGAGGGGAAAACACCATGGGGGGTGGGTCTGCGCCATGAAAATGTGCACGAAAATGGGCACTGCAAGGAAATGAATAATAAACAAACAAACAACCAATGGATATTGAGTAGACAACAAATGCAGGAGGCATGTGAAAATTCCATTAGGAACATAACAAACATATCGATAAAAGGTATTTCTCATACGCAGTGTTGGCAAATACATTGGATTCTGAGGGGAAAAACGGGGGTTTACACCGGACAAAGACTGGCCACATTCCCGGGCCAATTTAGGGTTGCATCCCGGCACGAAGCTATTCAGGTGAACCTTTTCAGTTTGCAACACTTTGCCGGCTTTGCCGATTTGTGTGTGTTTGTGTGTGTTAGCCAACATTTTTTTATATGCATGCATGCTTGTTATGACAACAGGGTTGCCCTCTTTTTCTCTCTCTCAACTCTGTGTTGCAACTCTGGGCATAAAATAAAAAAAAAATGGAAAAAAGGAAAAATGAAAAAAGAAACGTTTGCATGTTAAGGAACCCTGTTCGTTTTGTTTGCCAGAGCCGCTTGGCAACTACCTCAATAAATTTTATGTTGATGCCGGCGATATGCGCAAGAACACACACACTTACACACAGATACAGGCATATCCTGGCTGCACTTGTGTCGGTTAGTTACACCCTCGGCAAAAAAAAAAAAAGTCACCCTCTTCGCAGGGGTGGAATGCCTCAACTCCCCAGGACTGGCTTTCGATTCCGATTCCGGTTACGAGCCCAGGACCAGGACCCAGGACCAGAGATAATGCCTGGTGTGCAAGGTTAGTAAATCAGCGATATGACAAATCACCGCCACGCGAGAGGAGCACTTAATGCGACTACCACTACTGCTCCTTTCGATGGAAGAGACAAAGGATACGGGAAACTGCTGATAAAGCCGAATAAATCGTTTTGCCACATTTGTTCGTCACCAGACAATGCGTCGCCAAGTGGCGGCAGTGTCTGGTCTAGAATTACAACGCCCTTTTGCTAACTCCGAAGCCAGACTGTAGAAACTACAAATATATATATATATATCTGGGGGTTGTTTCCCAATGCCATCATCATATGCATTGGGCAAATGTTTAAAGTTGCTGGCTTTTTCAAAAAAGGTGAATTTCAAGACGAAGCCCCAACGCCATTTAAATGCTATTGCCATGGACAACGGCGACAACAATGGCAGTTCCTTTGGTTTATTGATTTTCAGATGAGCCAAACTAACTACTACTACATACTGCCAATACAACAAACGACAGCCCCGGAGCGCCCAGTTAAGCCGATTTAAGGCACAAAAATAACTCCAGCCTGGCCGGAGGAAACTGCAGACACGGCAGCCAGGGCAGACACTGCAGACCAGGCCGACACCGAGCCGAAGAACGGAAGTGTGGCAAATGCCTTCTTGTAATTTATAGCCAAGGAAGGGGGTCGGGTCGTTTGGGGGGCAGGGTATTAGGAGGCGGCCAGTTGGCCGCATAAGTTGCAGAATTTATGGCATTGCGACAACGAACAAATTCCCAGCAAAGTGCAGGCGAACCAAGCAAATTAGATGGAATCGCCTTACAGGCGGCAGACAACGGTGGAGATTGCACAGCAAGGATAGGGGGTGATTCCCCTTCTCTCTAAGGAGAATATTAAATGAATGAAATTTATTGTAATTTTTGGAGCTAAAATTTAATGAAATATTTGAAATGCTTCAAAGGAAATTAAAGTGGAAGCCAGCTAAGTAGAATAAGTGAATTCTAAAATAGAAATTCAAAGCTAACTTCGTGAAATATTACTCATACGTAGCTCAATTATTACAAAATATTTAACAAGTTAATTAAGGATGGGTAGTGTGTCTTGATCTTTCCATTTGCTATATTTGTTCTATCTGTCTGCTATCTATCTTATCACTGAGTAAACATGGACCAATCTGAAGTCACATCTCGGCAAGGCATCGCTCCCAATTACTCACCAGGACCCAGGCTGCTCCCGATTGCCGTTGTGACGGTGCCAAAATCAGAGATAACATGGCCATAAGTTGCAAGTCGGGTTTATGTGAGTAAACAGCAAACGGAATGGGCCTCGTTACATTTCTGTGGGTCTTCGTCTTGCCAAGAAACCAATCAGGCGCAACTTGCCTACGGAATTTCTGCCAAAAAAAACTCTTCTTTTTTTCTCCCCCGGCCAAGTCACCAGGGGGCAGGGCACACCACATCCATCCACATCCATATCCACACATTTCCCTGGCCAGGCAGCCGTAAAAAGTCAGCACACTGAGCCCGGGGTTCGGTTGGGGAAAATGTTTTCAATATTTGATGCTCACATTTTGTGGCCGCAAAAGTGCAGGGATGCCGCTGTTCGACCGCATCAACAAATGAAAATGGCGACCATCCTCAGCCTCATCCTCATCCTGTGACTCTCCCCAAAAAAGGAAAAAAAGAACAAACCAAACCGTGGAGGTCAGTCACGTGTTGGCCAGGCCAGAACCCGGAACCAAAGTGCCACCGAATTCACTGCATTGCGGCAACGACAGTTGTGTGTGTGTGGCATTGTGTCTATCCGTATATTTGCGCTGTGCAACTGCCAAAAATAAGGAGTGCAAAAGCGACATCCAACGTGCCTCTGCAACAGTACATAAAGCCGTATTGGCTCTTGGGCACAAAGGGGGGAGAGGTTTTTTAAGGT